ACCTTGTTTTTTCTCTCCATAAGAAGACTCAGAGACATTATTATTATTATTATTATTATTATTAATCAATACTTTGCTTTTTCTTTCCACTAGGAGACTCAAAGAGACTTTGTTGTTGTTGTTGTTGTTGTTGTTATTTATACCATGATTTTTCTGTCTACCAGGAGCCTCAGAAACATATTATTATTATTATTATTATTATTATTATTATTATTATTATTATTATGTATCTATACCTTGTTTTTTCTCTCCATAAGAAGACTCAGAGACATTATTATTATTATTATTAATCAATACTTTGCTTTTTCTTTCCACTAGGAGACTCAAAGAGACTTTGTTGTTGTTGTTGTTGTTGTTGTTGTTGTTGTTGTTATTTATACCATGATTTTTCTGTCTACCAGGAGCCTCAGAAACAATTATTATTATTATTATTATTATTATTATTATTATTATTATTATTATGTATCTATACCTTGTTTTTTTTCTCTCCACAAGGAGACTTTATTATTATTATTATTATTATTATTATTATTATTATTAATCAATACTTTGCTTTTTCTTTCCACAAGGAGACTCAAAGAGACTTTGTTATTGTTGTTGTTGTTATTTATACTTTGCTTTTTCTGTCTACCAGGAGCCTCAGAAACATATTATTATTATTATTATTATTATTATTATTATTATTATTATTATTATTATGTATCTATACCTTGTTTTTTTTCTCTCCACAAGGAGACTCAAAGAGACTTTGTTATTGTTATTATTATTATGTTTATTTATACCTTGGTTTTTCTCACCACCAAAAGACACAGAGACTTATGATGATGATGATGATGATTAGGAATGTACGACGTCCCTATTGAAGCAGCTCCACTGGCTGCCACTAAGTTTCCGGCCCCAATTCAAGGTGCCGGTTATGACCTACAAAGCCCTAAACAGTTCTATCTTCGTGATCACATCTCCCCCTGTGAACCAGCACGGGCCCTAAGATCTGCTTGGGAGACCCTCCTCTTGCTTCCACCACCACCATAAGCACGGTTGGTGGCAACGAGGGAGAGGGCCTTCCTTCTCAGTGGTGGAACTTTGGAACTCCCTCCCCAAGGAGATTAGACAGGCTCCACACTGTCCTCCTTTCATAGGGATTTGAAAACCTGGATGTTCCAGCAAGTTTTCAAGAATGAGTCCCTAGACACAGTTCCCAGGTAGCCAGATAGCGATCAAAGGTAGTCAGTTGAAACATTCACACCCAGCTCCAACAGACAAGAGTCCTTTGTCCCACCCTGGTCATTCCACAGATATATAAACCCTTTTTCCTAGTTCCAACAGACCTCACTACCTCTGAGAATGCTTGCCATAGATGCAGGTGAAACGTCAGGAGAAAATGCCTCTAGAACATAGCCATATAGCCCGAAAAAACCTACAACAACCCAGTAGTAGTATTATTAACTAGCTAAACTCGGCCATGCTTTGCTGTGTCTCATTCTGATATGAAATGAATGAAATAGTAAATAAAAGTATTGTTGCAAACATAGATAATATGTTTCTGAGGCTCCTGGTAGAAAGAAAAAGCAGGGTAAAAATAAACATGATAATAATAATAATAATAATAATAATAATAATAATAATAATGTCTCTTTGAGTCTCCTTGTGGAGAGAAAAAGCTCTGTGATAGGTTATTTCTTTTACTGCTGAGGTAAAAGGAAAGCTGCAGTGATTAGTTGTTATTTCTTCTGCTGAGGTAAAAGGAAAGCTGCTCTGTGATAGGTTATTTCTTTTACTGCCGAGGTAAAAGGAAAGCTGTGCAGCGATTAGTTGCTAGAGCTCAATTTTCATTTCTTATACTGCTGAGGTAAAAGGAAAGCTGTGTTGTGATTAGTTATTTCTTCTGCTGAGGTAAAAGGAAAGCTGCTCTGTGATAGGTTATTTCATTTACTGCCGAGGTAAAAGGAAAGCTGTGCAGCGATTAGTTGCTAGAGCTCAATTTTCATTTCTTATACTGCTGAGGTAAAAGGAAAGCTGTGTTGTGATTAGTTATTTCTTCTGCTGAGGTAAAAGGAAAGCTGCTCTGTGATAGGTGATTTCTTTTACTGCCGAGGTAAAAGGAAAGCTGTGCAGCGATTAGTTGCTAGAGCTCAATTTTCATTTCTTATACTGCTGAGGTAAAAGGAAAGCTGTGTTGTGATTAGTTATTTCTTCTGCTGAGGTAAAAGGAAAGCTGCTCTGTGATAGGTGATTTCTTTTACTGCCGAGGTAAAAGGAAAGCTGTGCAGCGATTAGTTGCTAGAGCTCAATTTTCATTTCTTATACTGCTGAGGTAAAAGGAAAGCTGTGTTGTGATTAGTTATTTCTTCTGCTGAGGTAAAAGGAAAGCTGCTCTGTGATAGGTTATTTCATTTACTGCCGAGGTAAAAGGAAAGCTGTGCAGCGATTAGTTGCTAGAGCTCAATTTTCATTTCTTATACTGCTGAGGTAAAAGGAAGGCTGTGTTGTGATTAGTTATTTCTTCTGCTGAGGTAAAAGGAAAGCTGCTCTGTGATAGGTGATTTCTTTTACTGCCGAGGTAGTAGTAATTTTATTGATTAGCCCTTAGGCCATATCACAATAAGAAACAGAACAACAAGGCCTGACAAGACCTGATCACACTCCACGTAGTAAGTTAAAATAAGACACTTATAATAATACAGTAAATAAATATGATAAGACATGATAAAACTGATAAACTGATCAAGCTGAGTATATACATCATATTTCATTATCACCCCTATAATTTACCCCAGTCAGCCCTACATATGTGGTTCTCAGACGTATTGTTTTGCTTAAGTACAGAGCTGTTTTATATGTTATTTTTGGGTCTTGGCCACACATAGAATATGTTGGTTTTTTTTACTGCCGAGGTAAAAGGAAAGCTGTACAGCGATTGGTTGCTATAGCTCAGTTTTCATTTTTTATACTGCTGAGGTAAAATGAAAGTGTGCTGTGATTGGTTGTTATTTTTTGTTCTACTGAGGTAAAAGGAAAGCTGCTCTGTGATAGGTTATTTCTTTTAATGCCAAGGTAAAAGGAAGGCTGTGCAGCGATTGGTTGCTGGAGCTCAGTTTTCATTTCTTATACTGCTGAGGTAAAATGAAAGCTAAGCTGTGAGTGCTTTGGGAATCTCAGATTTCACTGTGTCTATTCCTGGACTGCTTGTTTTACTCTAAATACACGCATGCATTTGAATGCCACATTGTGTCAAAATTTCATATTACTCTAAAAACACGAGTGTATTGGAATGCAACGTTGTGTTGAAATGTCAAGACAATCAACCAACTACTTTCCGAGCACAAACATACACAGGCTGAGATTATATATGTAAAGATATTACATTTATTTGTACCCTGAGTCTCCTGTCGAGCCCACCGGGAGACTCAGAGACTATAGTTATGATTTTGATAATTACGTTTATTTATGTTGCAACCCAGAGCAGGAAACGAGACCCTAAGACAACAATCCTCCACACTTGACTGTGGGAAAAATCAATCTCTTTTTATTGATGAAAAATGGTTACAAAATAGAGGAAAATGCAAAGTCAAAAAGCCACCGTAAAAATCAGCAATCAGAAATATCCATGAACTAGATCAAAAACCAAAAGCAACACTGTAAAACTCTGGAACCTGTTAGCAATCCACTAACCGTACTTGGAGCACTAGAAGCCTCTTGGGATGAAGGCCACAGGAAACGGGAGATCTGCCAAGGTAATGCCTCAGTCTAAAACGATGCCTGAGCTAAAGAGTCAACCCGGCGAGAGGCACTTAAAGCTGAGGAATCTGTTTCGTGACACGCCTCTAGGCTTTGAAGCCCTTGTTTCATTTTCTTTCAATCTGGCTGACCTTTGCAAACTCTGCGATTCACCCCTGTTTTGCCAAATCTGTCCTCTTCTATCCTCATTAAGGAACCCAGGTGTTAGCTTCTCTGGAGAGCTAGAATGGAGTGAAAGGTTACTGCTTGGCTCTGAAACATTCTCATGAGAATGTGTACTTTCACTTTCCAAGCCTGCAGGAGTTTCTCCTACACTGACCTCAGAATCAACATTTTCATTAGCATCAGGAAATACATCTTCAGTAGCATCAGGAAATACAATCAGAGAATCAGGTTCAGGTTCACACCCAGGCTGAACCCCAACAATTTATACCTCACTTTTCTCTCCGCAATGAGACATTTATCATCATCATCATCATCATCACATTCAGCAAGGAAGGCTTTTCTCACCTCTTTCAGTTTGTCAGTAAGAACTTATTATTACAAATATTACTATATTATATTATTGTTATTACTATATCATTATTCTACCATCAGTATTATATTATTAAAGTCATCTTCAACCTCAGCAAGATGGAGTGGATGAGGGATTTGAGGACATCCAACTCCAAATTGGGAAACAAGTCGTACAGGAATACCTGGCCGCTCTAAATGAGTTCAAGTCCCCTTTCAGGGCCAGATCAACTACACCCTAGAAGAGTACTGAAGGAACGAGCGGAAGTCATCTCGGAACCATTGGCAACCATCTTGGAGAGTTCTTGGAGAACGGGAGAAGTTCCAGCAGATTGGAGGAGGGCCAATGTGGTCCCAATCTTCAAGAAGGGGAAAAAGGATGACCCAAACAATGACCAATGTCCGGTCAGCCTCACGTCGATACCAGGCAAGATTCTGGAAAAGATGGTCAAGGAAGTGGTCTGCAAACACTTAGAAACCAATGCGGTCATCCCTAAGAGTCAACATGGATTTATCAAAAACAAGTCATGCCAGACTCATCTGATCTCTTTTTTTGATAGAGTTACAAGCTGGGTAGATGCAGGGAATGCCATGGATGGAGCGTACCTGGATTTCAGGAAGGCCTTCTTTGACCAGGTCCCCCATGACCTTCTGGCAAGGAAACGAATCCAATGTGGGCGAGTCAAAACTACGATGAGGTGGATCTGGAATTGGTTAAATGGACGAACCCAGAGGGTGATTCTCCCCAAGGCTTCCTCTTCATCTTGGAAAGAAGTGACGAGTGGAGTGCCACAAGCAGGGTTCCATCCTGGGCCCGGTCCTGGTCAGGATCTATATTAATGACTTAGATGAAGGGCTAGAAGGCAGGATCATCAAGTTTGCAGACGACACCAAATTGGGAGGGAGAGCCAAGACTCCAGAGGACAGGAGCAGGATTCAAAACGATCTTGACAGATTAGAGAGATGATGGGCAAAATGAAGTTCAACAGTAACAAATGCAAGATACTCCACTTTGGCAGGAAAAACAAAATGCAAAGATACAAAATGAAAAACGCCTTGCTCGAGAGCAGGACGTTTGAAAAAGATCTTGGAGTCCTTGTGGACAACAAGTTAAACATGAGCCAACAATGTGATGTGGCGGCAAAAAAAGCCAATGGGATGTTGTCCTGCATCAAGAGGAGCATAGTGTCTAGATCTAGGGAAGTCCTGCTCCCCATGCTCTATTCTGCTTTGGTTAGACCACACCTGGAATATTGTGTCCAATTCTGGGCACCACAATTCAAGAGAGATATTGACAAGCTGGAATGTGTCCAGAGGAGGGCGACTAAAATTATCAAGGGTCTGGAGAACAAGCCCTATGAGGAGAGGCTTAAGGAGCTGGGCATGTTTAGCCTGAAGAAGAGAAGGCTGAGAGGAGATATGATAGCCATGTATAAATATGTGAGAGGAAGCCACAGGGAGGAGGGAGCAAGCTTGTTTTCTGCTTCCTTGGAGACTAGGACGCAATGGAACAATGGCTTCAAACTACAAGAGAGGAGATTCCATCTGAACATTAGGAAGAACTTCCTGACTGTGAGAGCCGTTCAGCCGTGGAACTCTCTGCCCCGGAGTGTGGTGGAGGCTCCTTCTTTGGAAGCTTTTAAGCAGAGGCTGGATGGCCATCTGTCAGGGGTGATTTGAGTGCAATATTCCTGCTTCTTGGCAGAATGGGGTTGGACTGGATGGCCCAGGAGGTCTCTTCCAACTCTTTGATTCTATGATTCTGTTATTATTAATATGATTATATGGATATTAAATCTTCATTTTCCACCCCGTTTTTGCAGGAGAAGATGAAGGGGAAGAACAAGCTGGTCCCGCGCCTGCTGGGCGTCACCAAGGAGTCGGTGATGCGCGTGGACGAGCGCACCAAGGAGGTCCTGCAGGAGTGGCCCCTCACCACCGTCAAGCGCTGGGCCGCCTCCCCAAAGAGCTTCACCCTGGTAAAGGCCCCATAGAAAGAAAGAAAGACAGAAGGGAGCAAATACCTTCCTTCCTTCGCTCTTTGCTTCCATGTTTCCTTCTCTGTTTCCTTCCTTCCTTCGATGTTTTTCCTCTTCCTTGATTGGGCCCGCTGCCTAGGAGGCTGCAACCACCGCGTCGCTCGGCGAGGCCTCGGTTGTTATGGCGGTTCCGCCGGAAGTGCTGGGAGCAAGACTGACAGGCGAGGGAGCGGAAGTGCGGGAAGGGGTGGGGGGGCGAAGGAAGGGGGCGTGACTTCCCAGAGGGGGCGTGGGAGGAGGGAAGGATTGAGTCAGGGCGGGAAGGGGCGGGGCGGCGAAGGGAGGGGGCGTGGGTTGCGCGGGGGGCATGCGCGGGGGCGTGGGAGGAGGGAAGGATTGAGTCAGGGCGGGAAAGGGCAGGGCGGCGAAGGGAGGGGGCGTGGCTTCCACGGAGGGGGCGTGGTCGGCGGCAGAGGAGGAGGTGGAGGAGGGAAAGAATTGAGTCAGGGTGGGTAGGGGCGGGGCGGTGAAGGGAGGAGGCGTGGTTTGCGGCGAGGGAACGTTGTCCGGCAATGTGCGCTCGGCGGGGGACTTGCGCCGGGGCGCCTCTGCGCATGCTCCCTTTGTTTTCGAAATTGTGGGTTTGTTGAAATGTTGTTTACTATTTTGAATCGCTATCTGCATACCTTGTGGGTTGAGGTATGTGCATGCCAAGTTTGGTGTGTTTTGGGCCAGGGGTTTTCGCTTTTGCTGTCCCGTTGAACGCCCTTAACAGATTTATATATATAGATATGTAGAGAGAGAGAATAGTATATTGCAATTATTTATTGCAATGCTCTCTCTCTATATATATATATATGAACAGTGTGTGTATTGAATACTATATTGTATTTATTTATTGCAATGCTATATATGTGTGTGTTTATGTGTGTTATAAACTATATATATATACACTAGGCTTGGGCGATCAAGAAAAAAATTGGTTCTAAACTCGTTTCGTTTCTAGGATGTGCTAGCGTTTCGAAATTCTGAGGACTTCCGAAATTTAAGATTTTGAAATTTTGGAATTTACGAAATTTTGTAAATTACGAATCGATTCGTTAATGGCGGACGCGATTGCGCAATATGCTAAAAAAACCTCCAAACGGGACAGGGGGAACTTCTGAAGCTTCCCTCTCCCTCTGTTGTTGACTGTTGGTGTGATACAACTAACAACAACTATATTATATTATTATAATATTATTATTATTATAATATTATATTATTATTGTATATTATATTATATTATTATTATATTATTATATTATATATTATATATTATTATTATAATATTATATTATATATTATTATAATAATATAATATATATAATATAATATAATAATTTAATATAATATATATAATATAATATAATATAATTTAATATAATATATATAATATAATATAATAATTTATTATATTATATTATTATTATATTATTATATTATATTATTGTATATTATATTATATTATATTATTATTATGATTATTATTTTATTATTATATCATCATTATATACTATTATTTATATATTATTATATTTCATTATATATTATTATCATCATTATATTATATTGTTATTTTCTATTTTATAATTATCATTATATTGTATATATTATTAATATATAATATATTATAATAAAATATAGAATTATAATATAATAATATAGTAATATAATATATTATATAGTATATATATATATAGTATATAATATAGTATATATAGTAATATAATATATAATATAGTATATATATATATACAATTATAATATAATAATATAGTAGTATAATATATATTTTGTAGTAATGTTGATGTTTTGATAAGATGTTTTTCTGATAATGATGAATTGTGGATTTTTTGCACTATGTTTTGTAATTTGCACTTGTTTTTTCATGTTGTACACCGCAATGAGTCACCCTTGGGCTGAGAATTGCGGTATATAAGCGCAGTAAATAAATAAATAAATAAATAATATAGTAATATAATATACAATATAATGCACCAGACATAAGAAAATAATTACGAAATAATTACGAAAATTGGAAAAAAAATTGTTTCGATTCTTAATTACTCCTCACACTATTCCTGCATGGCTCGATATTGGATCGTAAGCTAATTTAAATACGAATCAATAACAAATAACGAAATTAACGAACTGGATCGCCCAAGCCTAATAGATATATATACACACACAGAGAGAGCACAGGTAGCTTTTGCAACCTGTTGCACTTAAAAGTCTTCCAGGAGTAGCCATTTGCCACTGCCATTTGCTTGAAAAAGGCCGCTTTGTTTATGTTTTAAGGGCCACCCAAACCATCCTGGGGAGTCCCCATGTGACCCCAAAGCCACCCTTTACTCCACATTGGCATAAAGCTTTCCTTGCCTGTTCCTATCATGGAAACCATAATGCTTCGCTTCCAGTAACCAAGACACGGCTGTCTTCTTTGCAGGATTTCGGCGAGTATCAAGAGAGTTATTACTCGGTGCAGACGACGGAAGGCGAGCAGATCTCGCAGCTGATCGCCGGCTACATCGACATCATCCTCAAGAAGGTACGTCCTTGGAGAAAAGAATCATAGGATTTTCTGTGGGAGACCCCACTGGACGCTTATAGTCCACGGTTGGATGGCTCTTCGTATCAGGAAAGTCTTCCTAGCGGAATCTAATTATTCCTTTGTTTAATCGCAATACCAAAAGCATATCACAGAACGTCAATGGGTTGGGATTAGCTACAAAGAACAAAACTTCTTATATGGAGGACTAGCCATCCCCTGCCACACGTTACCGTGGCCCATTCTGTGTATATGTGTTTTGTGTGTATATATATATGTGCGTTTTTATTTGTGTATATGTGTATATTCGTGGTTTTGCGCATGCGTTGTAATGTTTTTAATTTTTGGCTTTTTAAGTCTCAAACTTTTCAAGTCAACCCAAGAGCACTGTGAACTCAATGATGGATCTGGACCAAACTTGGCACGAATACCCAATATGCCCAAATGTGAGCACTGGTGGAGTTTGGATAAAATAGACCTTGACATTTGGGAGTTGTAGTTGCTGGGATTTATAGTTCACCTCCAATCAAAGAGCACTCTGAACTCCACCAACGATGGAATCGAACCAAACTTGGCACACAGAACCCCCATGACCAACAGAAAATACTGGAAGGGTTTGGTATATTTTATTTATCGTGTCATCCGCAACCAAAACATTGTATTACATTTCTAACAGAACAAAACAAACAAACAGATAAAAAAAAACAAACACAAATCTTGCAAACTTGGTAGCTGATTAAATGTCCTTTGACCAGTATCTGGCCCCTTTGAGTGCCTCTGGTGTTGCCACAAGAAGGTCCTCCATTGTGCATGTGGCAGGGCTCAGGTTGCCTTGCAGCAGGTGGTCAGTGGTTTGCTCTTCTTCTCCGCACTCGCATGTCGTGGATTCCACTTTGTGGCCCCATTTCTTGAGGTTGGCTCTGCATCTCGTGGTGCCCGAGCGCAGTCTGTTCAGCGCCTTCCAAGTCGCCCAGTCTTCTGTGTGCCCAGGGGGGAGTCTCTCATTTGGTTGAGGTTCTGGGTTTGAGCCTGCCACTTTTGGACTCTTGCTTGCTGAGGTGTTCTAGCGAGTGTCTCTGTAGATCTTAGAAAACTATTTCTGATTTAAGTCGTTGACGTGCTGGCTGATACCCAAACAGGGGATGAGCTGGAGATGTCTCTGCCTTGGTCCTTTCACTATTGGCTGCTACTTCCCAGGATGTCAGGTGGTGCAATACCGGCTAAGCAGTGTACTTTCTCCAGTGGTGTAGGGCGCAGACACCCCGTGATAATGCGGCATGTCTCATTAAGAGCCACATCCACTGTTTTAGTGTGGTGAGATGTGTTCCACACTGGGCATGCGTACTCAGCAGCAGAGTAGCATAGCACAAAGGCAGATGTCTTCACTGTGTCTGGTTGTGATCCCCAGGTTGTGCCAGTCAGCTTTCGTATGATATTGTTTCTAGCACCCACTTTTTGCTTGATGTTCAGGCAGTGCTTCTTGTAGGTCAGAGCACGGTCCAGAGTGACTCCTCCCATATGTCAAGATTCCATTTTCCCCAAACTCCACCAGTGTTCACATTTGGGCATATTGAGTATTCGTGTCGAGTTTGGTCCAGATCCATCATTGTTTGAATCCATAGTCATCTTTGGATGTAGGTGAACTACAACTCCCAAACTCAAGGTCAATACCAACCAAACCCTTCTAGTGTTTTCTGTTGGTCATGGAAGTCTTTTCTGCTAAGTTTGGCCCAATTTCATCATTGGTGAATGATGAAATTGGGCCAAATTTCATCATTGGCCCCTTTTTCATCATTGGCCCCATTTCATCATGCTCTTTGATTGTAGGTGAACTATTAATCCCAGCAACTACAACTCGCAAATGACAAAATCATTTTTTTTTTTTAGTGAAGGACGTACATTGGGTTATTAGGTGTCTTGTGTCCAAATTTGGTGTAAATATCTGATATGCAGGGTGTATTTTCATTCACTGGACCAAATATCCAATACACCCAAATTCAAATACTGGTGGGGTTGGAGGGAGGATTGATTTTGCCTTTTGGGAGTTGTAGTTGCTGGGATTTATAGTTCACCTACAATCAAAGAACATTCTGAACTTCACCAATGATGAAATTGGGCCAAACTTAGCACAAAGGACTCCCATGACCAACAGAAAACACCAGAAGGGTTTGGTTGGCATTGACCTTTAGTTTGGGAGTTGTAGTTCATCTACATCCAAAGATGACTGTGGATTCAAACAATGATGGATCTGAACCAAACTCTTCACAAATACTCAATATGCCCAAATGTGAACACTGGTGGAGTTTGGGGGAAATAGAATCTTGCCATTTGAGAGTTGTATTTGCTGGGATTTATAGTTCACCAACAATCAAAGAGCATTCTGAACCCCATCAACGATGGAATTGAACCAAACTTGACACACAGAACTCCCTTGATGAACAGAAAATACTGGAAAGGTTTGGTGGGCATTGACCTTGAGTTTTGGAGTTGTAGTTCACCTACATCCAGAGAGCACTGTGGACTCAAACAATGATAGACCAAACTTGGCACGAATACACAATATGTTCAGATATGAACAGTAATGGAGTTTGGAGGAAATAGAATCTTGCCATTTGGGAGTTGTACTTGCTGGGATTTATAGTTCACCTACAATCAAAGAACATTCTGAACTCCACCAATGATGGAATTGAACCAAACTTGGCACACAGAACTCCCATGACCAACAGAAAATACTGGAAGGGTTTGGTTGGCATTGACCTTGAGTTTGGGAGTTGTAGTTCACCTACATCCAAAGATGACTGTGGGCCCAAATAATAATGAATCTGGACTGGTTAACTAGGGAAAGAGCTAACTATGCTTCCCTCCCATAAACTATACAGTAAAAAACTAAGGAAAGCATAAAATGGTAAAGTCTTTGTTGGTCTTGACCAAATCTATGGATTTAAGGATGAGAGGCTAAGAAGAAGGCTCTCTTGATCTCTTTTGCAGAAGCAAAGCAAGGACCGTTTCGGGCTGGAAGGGGATGAGGAGTCGACGATGCTGGAGGAGTCCGTCTCGCCGAAAAAGTAGGTTCCGTGACGCGCCTGAATCTGGTTTGGGCTGCCGGAGAATCTGGTTTGTGGTGTGCAATGCAAGCCTCCCTTTCCCTTCCCTTGGCAGGTCCACCATCTTGCAGCAGCAGTTCAACCGGACCGGGAAAGTGGAACACGGGTCGGTGGCCCTGCCAGCCGTCATGCGCTCGGGGTCCACGGGGCCGGAGCCCTTCAACGTGGGCAGCATGCCTTCGCCACAGCAGCAGGTCACCGTGGGGCAGATGCACCGTGGACACATGCCCCCCTTGGTAAGCAGGAGGGGACGCCACCCACGCAGGAGTCCGGTTGACCCTTGAGGCAGGGAGAAACATACATACCTCCAACCTCACCAGTAGGCTTGGGCGATCCAGTTCGTTAATTTCGTTATTCGTTATTGATTCGTATTTAAATTAGCTTTCGATCCAATATCGAGCCATGCAGGAATAGTGTGAGGAGTAATTAAGAATCGAAACAATTTTTCCCAATTTTCGTAATTATTTCGTAATTATTTTCGTATGTCTGGTGCATTGTATATTATATTATATTACTATATTATATATTATATTACTATTTATTTATTTATTTATTTACTGCACTTGTAGACCGCCGTTCTCAGCCCTAAGGCGACTCACGGCGGTGTACAACATATAAAAACAGGTACAATTTGCAACATAAGCAATATCACAAACAACAATAAACAACATCACTATCAATAATACAATTACACTAAATCATTCGCGACGTCTCATCACTGAATCACAATCCAAATCTCGTTATCCATGTTCCGTTCCAATCATCATTGCCAATTGTTGTAGCACTTAGTCAAACGCCTTCTCAAACAACCACGTCTTTAGTCTCTTGCGGAATGTCATAAGGGAGGGCGCCTGTCTGATGTCTACAGGGAGGGTGTTCCACAGCGGGGGGCCACCACTGAGAAGGCCCTGTCCCTAGTCCCCGCCAGGCATGCCTGTGAGGCAGGCGGGATCGAGAGAAGGGCCTCCCCAGACGATCTCAAAGTCCTCGTGGGCTCATAGGCCGAGATGCGGTCAGGTATTTTGGGCCGGAACCGTTTAGGGCTTTGTAGGCCAACACCAGCACCTTGAATTGGGCCCGGTAGCAGATCGGCAGCCAGTGGAGCTGGAACAACAAGGGCGTTGTATGCTCCCTGCGTCCCGCTCCTGTTAGTAACATGGCTGCCGCGCGCTGGACCAGCTGGAGCTTCCGGGCCGTCTTCAAGGGCAGCCCCACGTAGAGAGCGTTGCAGTAGTCAAGGCGGGATGTGACCAGAGCATGTACTACCGTGGCCAAGTCAGACTTCCCGAGGTACAGGCGCAGCTGGCGCACGAGCCTGAGCTGTGCAAATGCTCCCCTGGTCACCGCTGAACCTGGGGTTCCAGGCTCAGCAATGAATCCAGGATCACACCCAAGCTGCGAACCTGCGCCTTCAAGGGGAATGCGACCCCATCCAGCACAGGCTGTAACCCTATGCCCTGTTCGGCCTTGCGACTGACCAGGAGTACCTCTGTCTTGTCTGGATTCAATTTCAATTTGTTCGCCCTCATCCAGACCATTACAGCGGCCAGGCACCGGTTCAGGACCTTGACAGCCTCCTTAGTAGCAGGTGGAAAGGAGTGACAGAGTTGGACATCATGCGTACAGATGACACCGTACCCCGAAACTCCGGGTGATCTCCCCCAGCGGCTTCATGTAGATGTTAAACAGCATGGGGGACAGTATAGAGCCCTGTGGAACCCCACAAGTCAAAGGCTGTGGCGTTGAACAGGTGTCCCCCAATAACACCTTCTGGGTGCGGCCCTCCAGAAATGACTGGAGCCACTGCAGAACAGTGCCCCCGAGGCCCATTTCCGCAAGACGCCCCAGAAGGATACCGTGGTCGACGGTATCGAAGGCCGCTGAGAGGTCCAGGAGCACCAACAGGGACACACTCCCCCTGTCTAGCTCCCGGCGCAGATCATCCACTAAGGCGACCAAGACCGTCTCGGTTCCATGTCCCGGTCTGAAACCAGACTGTGCCAGATCCAGAATATCCGTGTCTCTCAAGAATACCTGGACTTGTGAGGCCACCACGCTTTCCATGACTTTGCCCAAAAAGGGGAGATTGGAAACAGGCCGAAAGTTGTCAAATCTAGTGGGATCCAGTGATGGTTTTTTCAACAGCGGTTTTATGATAGCTTGTTTTAAGCTCGCTGGAATCTTGCCTTCCCGAAGGGAGGCGTTAATATATAATATATAATGTTGTGACTCAGGTAACAGAGATTGTCTTACACAGCAATTGAAGTGTTAATAGCAGTCTTTAATGAGTCTCTAACTGAAAAGAGCACTTAACAGCAGTGCAATTAGCAAAACAAAACAGCCTTCCATCAGGTAAACAGAGAAGTGATAAGCTGGATCTTCCAGGACTTGAGCTCAGCAAAAAGGAAAGCAGGAGTAAACAAGAGCGTGTGGCAAACACAAAATCAAAACAGCTTCTAATCAAGCATAGTCCAGAACAATAAACAAGTCCGATAAGCTGACGCTGATCCAAGTCTGACTCAGCATCACTCCTCCTTCTCCTGCAACTGGTAGTAGATACGTTGCTGTGACGCTGAGCCTCAACATATAATAATAATAAAATATACAATAATATAATATAATAATATTATAATAATATAATATAATATAACAAATTATTATATTATATATATTATATTATTATAATAATATATATTATTATAATAATATATAATATTATAATAATATAATATAATATACAATAATATAATATAATAATATTATAATTTAATATACAACAATATAATATTATAATATAATATAATATAATAATATATTATAATATAATATACAATAATATAATATAATAATATTATAATTTAATATACAACAATATAATATTATAATATAATATAATATAATAATATATTATAATATAATATACAATAATATAATATAATAATATTATAATTTAATATACAACAATATAATATTATAATATAATATAATATAATAATATATTATAATATAATATACAATAATATAATATAATAATATTATAATTTAATATACAACAATATAATATTATAATATAATATAATATAATAATATATTATAATATAATATACAATAATATAATATAATAATATTATAATTTAATATACAACAATATAATATAATATAATATAATATAATATAATATAATATAATATAATATAATATAATATTATAATATAATATAATAATATATTATAATATAATATACAATAATATAATATACAACAATATAATATTATAATATAATATAATAATATATTATAATATAATATACAATAATATAATATACAACAATATAATATTATAATATAATATAATAATATATTATAATATAATATACAATAATATAATATACAACAATATAATATTATAATATAATATAATAATATATTATAATATAATGTAATATAGTTGTTGTTTGTTTTATCACACCAACAGTCAACAACAGAAGGAGAGGGAAGCTTCAGAAGTTCCCCCTGTCCCATTTGGAGGTGTTTTTTAGCATATTGAGCCATTGCGTCCGCCATTAACGAATCGATTCATACATTTACGAAATTTCGTAAATATCAAAATTTTGAAATTTGAAATTTCGGAAATGCTCTCAAATTAGAAACGCGGGCGCCCCCTAGAGACGAAATGAGTTTTGAACCAAATTTTTTCTCGATCAACCAAGCCTAGTAGGCAACAATTCAGTGTCATAAAAAACCATACACTTAAAATACATGGTCTGTCTGTCCGTTGCTAATTCCTCTCTGTTTCCCTTGCAGACTTCTGCCCAGCAAGCCCTGATGGGGACCCTCAACACCAGCAGACAGGCCGTCCAGCAGGCCCAGGCCGACCTCACCGAGGTGGACAGCCTCCCGCCGTTGGGCAATGACATGGTGGGTCTTCCGTCCCCGAATGCGCATCGGGAACCTCTGGATCTTTCCTCTCCAGGTTTTGGTGCACAACTTGGAACTCACCATGTGCCACCTTTGGCGCCTAACCTGGGACTCGGTCTTCTCTTCCAGGCTTCCAGAGTCTGGGTCCAGAACAAAGTGGACGAATCCAAGCATGAGATACACTCTCAGGTGGATGCCATCACTGCAGGGACTGCCTCTGTTGTCAATCTGACGGCAGGTAAATATAATAATAATAATAATAATAATAATAATAATAATGATAACAAATGTTGCCACCCTATACCCTGATGCGGTTTGCAATCGACCAGGAGGACCTCTGTCTTGTCGGGATTGATCTCCAGCTTGTTCGTCCCCATCCAGATAGACACAGCGGCCAGGCACTCATCCAGCACTTGAGGGGCTTCCTTGGAGTTAGGTGGAAAGGAGGAGTAGAGTTGCGTGTCATCTGCGTAGAGGTGGCACCCAACTCCAAAACTCCGGATGACCTCTCCCAGCGGTTTCATGTAGATGTTAAAAAGCATGGGAGACAGAATAGAGCCTTGCGGGACCCCACAGGTCAAAGGCCAGGGGGCCGAGCAGGCGTCTCCCAGCTTCACCATCTGGGATCGACCCTCCAGGAAGGACCCGGGCAAGATTCTGGAAAAGATTGTTAAGGAAGCGGTCTGCAAACACTTAGAAACAAATGCAGTCATCGCTAATAGTCAACATGGATTTATCAAAAACAAGTCATACCAGACTCATCTGATCTCTTTCTTCGATAGAGCTACAAGCTGGGTAGATGCGGGGAATGCCGTGGATGTAGCGTACCTGGATTTCAGGAAGGCCTTCTTTGACAAGGTCCCCCATGACCTTCTGGCAAGGAAACTAGTCCAATGTGGGCGAGGCAAAACTACGGTGAGGTGGATCTGGAATTGGTTAAATGGACGAACCCAGAGGGTGATTCTCCCCAAGTCTTCCTCTTCATCCTGGAAAGAAGTGACAAGTGGAGTGCCATCCGCAGGGTTCCGTCCTGGGCCCGGTCCTGTTCAACATCTTTATTAATGACTTAGATGAAGGGCTAGAAGGCAGGATCATCAAGTTTGCAGATGACACCAAATTGGGAGGGATAGCCAATACTCCAGAGGACAGGAGCAGGATTCAAAACGATCTTGACAGATTAGAGAGATGGGCCAAAACTAACAAAATGAAGTTCAACAGGGACAAATGCAAGATACTCCACTTAGGCAGAAAAAAATGAAATGCAAAGATACAGAATGGGGGACGATGATGCCTGGCTCGAGAGCAGTACGTGTGAAAAAGATCTTGGAGTCCTCGTGGACAGCAAGTTAAACATGAGCCAACAATGTGATGTGGCGGCAAAAAAAGCCAATGGGATTTTGGCCTGCATCAATAGGAGCAAGGTCCAGATCAAGGGAAGTAATGCTACCCCTCTATTCTGCTTTGGTTAGACCACACCTGGAATATTGTGTCCAATTCTGGGCACCACAATTCAAGAGAGATATTGACAAGCTGGAATGTGTCCAGAGGAGGGAGACTAAAATGATCAAGGGTCTGGAGAACAAGCCCTATGAGGAGCGGCTTAAGGAGCTGGGCATGTTTAGCCTGAAGAAGAGAAGGCTGAGAGGAGATATGATAGCCATGTATAAATATGTGAGAGGAAGCCACAGGGAGGAGGGAGCAAGCTTATTTTGCTTCCCTGGAGACTAGGACGTGGAACAATGGCTTCAAACTACAAGAGAGGAGATTCCATCTGAACATGAGGAAGAACTTCCTGACTGTGAGAGCCGTTCAGCAGTGGAACTCTCTGACCCGGAGGGAGTGTGGTGGAGGCTCCTTCTTTGGAAGCTTTGAACCAGATGGCCATCTGTCAGGGGTGATTTGAATGCAATATTCCTGCTTCTTGGCAGAAGGGGTTGGACTGGATGGCCCATGAGGTCTCTTCCAACTCTTTGATTCTATGATTCTATGATCTATGACCGGAGCCACGACAAAACCGTGCCCCCGAGACCCATCCCAGAGAGTCGTCCCAGAAGGATACCATGATCGATGGTATCGAAAGCCGCTGAGATGTCCAAGAGAACCAACAGAGTCACACTCCCCCTGTCCAGCTCTCTATGGAGGTCATCCACCAAGGCGACCAAGGCTGTCTCGGTGCCATGGCCAGGCCTGAAACCAGACTGTGACTGACCTAGGTAGTTGATGTCATCCAGAAAACCCTGGAACTGGGAGTCCTTCTCCCCCTCTTCCTCTTCCTTCTTCTCCATCTCTTCCTCTTTCTCCTCCTCTCCTTCTTCGTCCTTCTCTTCCCTCTCCTTTTCTTCTGCCTCTCCTTCTCCTTCTTTTCCATCTTTTTTCTCATCCTCCTCTTTTCTTTCTCTTCTTTCTTCTCTTCCCCTCTTTTTTCTTCTTTCTCTTCCTCCCTCTCTTTCTTCTCCTCGCAGGGGACCCAGTGGACACGGACTACACGGCCGTGGGCTGTGCCATCACCACCATCTCCTCCAACCTGACGGAGATGTCCAAAGGGGTCAAGCTGCTGGCCGCTCTGATGGATGACGAGGTGGGCAGCGGGGAGGACCTCCTCAAGGCTGCCAGGACCCTGGCCGGAGCCGTCTCGGACCTCCTCAAAGCTGTGGAACCGGCCTCCGGAGAGGTGAGATCCACGGTCAGTGGCAACCAGCCAGAGCCTTGACCTCGTGTCGAAGATGGACAGAAACATCTTGCAGGCTGCAGTTGAGAAGTGACCTGTTACATGGTGGATATGGGGGGCTTCATCTCCATAGGGTTTGCTATTATTATTAGGCTTGGTTGATCATGTTCGTTAGTTTCTAAACTTGTTATGAATTCGTGTTTAAATTAGCTTTCGATCCAATATCGAGCCATGCAGGAATAGTGTGAGGAGTAATTAAGAATCGAAACCATTTTCCCAATTTTCGTAATTATTTTCGTATGTATTATTATATTATATTATTATTGTATATTATATTATTATAATTGTATATTATTATATTATATTATTATTATATTATATGTTATAATTGTATGTTATTATATTTTATTAATATAATTGTATATTAAAGCACCCCTGACAGATGGCCATCCATTCTTAATAATAATAATAATAATAATAATATATTAAAACTATTATTATTATATATTATATTATATTATATTATTATTGTATATTATTATATTATATTATTATTATATTATATTATATGTTATAATTGTATGTTATTACATTATATTAATATAATTGTATATTAAAGCACCCCTGACAGATGGCCATCCATTCTTAATAATAATAATAATAATAATAATAATATAATATAATATTAAAACTATTATTATTATATATTATATTATATTATATTATTATTGTATATTATTATATTATATTATTATTATATTATATTATATGTTACAATTGTATGTTATTATATTTTATTAATATAATTGTATATGTATATTAAAGCACCCCTGACAGATGGCCATCCATTCTTAATAATAATAATATAATATAATATTAAAACTATTATTATTATATATTATATTATATTATATTATATTATATTATTATATTATTATATTATATTATTATAATTGTATATTATTATATTATATTATATTATATTATTATATTATATGTTATAATTGTACGTTATTATATTATATTAATATAATTGTATATTAAAGCACCCCTGACAGATGGCCATCTATTCTTAATAATAATAATAATAATAATAATAATAATAATAATAATATAATATTAAAATATTATATTATATTATATTATTATTGTATATTATTATATTATATTTATATTATATTATATGTTATAATTGTATGTTATTATATTATATTATATTAATATAATTGTATATTAAAGCACCCCTGACAGATGGCCATCCATTCTTAATAATAATAATATAATATAATATAGAATAATAATAATAGGAAGACGTTTAGCTGGGTTAAGACAAGCCGTTTTAAAGCATTTTAAAGACTGGATTCCTGTAAGTGCGGACTCCGTTCTGACTTCGGATTGTTTTTGGACGGACATCTGATTCTGACTTCATCTTCTGCTTTTGGACGTGCTCTGGGCTTGGGACAGTTTTTTTGATAATATAATATAATATATATAGTTGTTAGTTGTATCACACCAACAGTCAACTACAGAGGGAGAGGGAAGCTTCAGGAGTTCCCCCCGTCCCGTTCGGAGGATTTTTTCGCGTATTGTGCAATCGCGTCCGCCATTAACGAATCGATTCGTATATTTACGAAATTTCGTAAATATCAAAATTTTGAAATTTGAAATTTCGGAAATGCTCTCAAATTAAAAACGTGGGCGCCCCCTAGAGACGAAATGAGTTTTGAACCAAATTTTTTCTCAATCAACCAAGCCTAATAGATACCAGACACCAAGAAATACATCGATCAATACCTTCATTGGCAAATACATGGATGAATGGATGCATCAGTTATACATGGATGGATAGATATACATAGGTGGATATATTGGTGGATGGGTGAGTAGATAGATACTAGGGCTGTCCAAACACGGAAAAATTTGTTTCTAAACTCGATTTGTTTTTAGGGTTTTTTTGCGTTTCGTTATTTAAAAGAATTCCGAAATTTTCCTTATAAAAAGTTCGATATTTACGAAATTTCGGAAATCAAAAACCAATTACGAATCGATTACGAATCGATTCGTTGATGGCAGCCGCGATCGCGCAATACGCTAAAAAAACTTCTGTAGCTTCCCTCTCCCTCTGTTGTTGACTGTTGGTGTGATAATTATATTTTTTTTTCACTGAGAAAACAAACAGCAACCCTAAAACTTGCACCAGACATGCGGAAATAATAACGAAACATTTACGAATCAATAACGAATCAATTCTGAAACGAATTTTTAGTTGCTCCTGAATGGTTCAATATCGCTTCGTTATCAAAAAAAATAACGAATTTTTACCGAATTACAAAATTACGAAACGAAACCGCCCAGCCCTAATAGATACACTGATGGATGACTAGATTTTACATAGATATAGATGGGTTGATTGATTGAACAAATTGATTGATTATACATGGATTGATTGATTGAACATAGATCATGCTACATAGTGTTATTATTTTGTGACACCCCAAGGGAAGGTGGGGGAGCTTTACCCATGGCATTTATACTGACTTCTCGGAGAGGGGAGGTTGGCTTGGTCTTGCTTCAGTGCTGTGATTGGTGGAGGTTCTCAAAAGGAGGAGCCTCATGCTCTGATCTCACTTCCTGTTGGTTTCCCGCCTTTCCAGCCGCGCCAGACAGTCTTGACAGCCGCCGGGAGCATTGGCCAGGCCAGCGGGGAGCTCCTCCGGCAGATTGGGGAGAACGAGACCGACGAACGGTTCCAGGTGAGGCAGCCAAATAGTCCGCACGTGTCGTATGCAGGAGTGTCTTACCTACAAAGTTGTGTAGGTTGCGCCCAAGCCAAGCTGGATGTGGATTTATTTATTTATTTATTTATTTACTGCATTTATTGACCGCCGCTCTCAGCCCTAGGGCGACTCGCGGCGGTGCACAACATATAAAAACAGTTTACAAAAGGGCAAAACAGGAAATCAATACAACAATAATACACTATAATCTAGTTACACTAAATAATCCGCTCCGTCACATCATAGAATCATAACCAATATCGTAATCCGTATTCCGTTCCAGTTGTCATATTATATTTCGTGTAGCTCTCAATTAAATGCCTTCTCGAATAGCCAGGTCTTTAGGCTCTTACGGAAAGCCATAAGGGAGGGCGCCTGTCTGATGTCAACAGGGAGGCTGTTCCACAGCCGGGGGGCCACCACTGAGAAGGCCCTCTCTCTCGTCCCCGCCAGACGTGCCTGTGAGGCAGGCGGGATCGAGAGAAGGGCCTCCCCAGACGATCTCAAGGCCCTCGTGGGCTCATAGGCCAAGATGCGGTCCGAAAGGTATTTTGGGCCGGAACCGTTTAGGGCTTTGTAGGATAACACCAGCACCTTAAATTGGGCCCGGTAGCAAATCGGCAGCCAGTGGAGCTGGAACAGCAAGGGCGTTGTATGCTCCCTGCGTCCCGCTCCTGTTAGTAACATGGCTGCCGCGCGCTGGACTAGCTGAAGCTTCCGGGCCGTCTTTAAGGGCAGCCCCACGTAGAGAGCGTTGCAGTAGTCAAGGCGGGATGTGACCAGAGCGTGTACCACCATGGCCAAGTCAGACTTCCTATAGAACATAGATGTTATCGCGCATCCGTCAAAGCTTGGAAAGTCTAGCATCCCCAAAAGGCTTGTCCATTATGGGGGATTTGGGCTTGGAAACATCTGTGATATACAGTAAATAAGCTCTGGAATAGCATTGACAAATAAGTGGCGTCTGCTTAGGAATCTTGAGGTCCTCCTGTCCAGATCTATGGCCAGAAGCTTGACCATTGATTCTTCGTACAGGACGTGAGGGTGCCTAGAAAGGACATACTTGCCAAATTCGCAAAAGCTAGACTATATAATGGTATAGTGCAATATAGTAATATATACTGATATTGTACTTCGCTAATAATATAATATATTGTATGAAAATATATATTGTAAGCCGCTCTGAGTCCCCTTCGGGGTGAGAAGGGCGGCATATAAGCGCCGTAAATAAATAAATAAATAAATAAATAAATATATGTGTGGATGATCAACTGTATCGTCTAACACAGCGGTTCTCAACCTGGAGGTCGCAACCCCCAGAGGGGTCGCCTGTCCATTTTGGAAGGGTTGTGAGGCCGCCTCCGTTGACCCCGCCCCAAGGGCGTGGGCCAGGTAAGGTCTTCTTCACGTGAGGCCTGGCCTCGTACAAAGCCCATTTGGCCTGCCTCACAGTCTCACTATGCTTCATCTGACTATTTTTTCTCTGGTGAGAACTTTATATCCCAACACCCAGAAACTGGTTTCGCTTTGCTTGACTGCCTCTTGCCCTTATCTCTCGAAGCCTAGTAGAACAGCGAAGGCCTTGGTTGAGCTGTCTGTTTTGGCTAAATTCCAGTCATTTGTCTATGTGCTCGTTATCTATCTGCTAATTAATTTTTCCAGGTGACAAGTTGTTTTCAAACCCCAAATCTTGGGAACTCTCTGGTTCAGGGAGTAAACTAGCATCCTTATACCCTGTAGGAACATTCTGAACCAGTATCCCTATGTCATTCTCTGCATTAATATCATTGACCATACCATCTCCATTTTGACCATCGGTGACATCATTCCCCACATCAGAAGCACCTTGATCCTGAAACACAAACACAGGCTGAACTCCCAACAACATGACTACTAGATGGTGAATCAGACAGGAGCCCAGTCTGAAAACACTGGCTTTGAGCCAATATCTAATGGCCCGTGTAGCAAAATTGCTACTCTATGTTAAATTTTTGGTGTATAGCTCTATGTTTACATATGGCAGGTAGGGAAGAATAGGCATAGACAGGGTAGCAACAGCAGAGATAAGATTCATTTGCATATGGAAGCCGATTGGTCATATGCAGATTAGCGTATGCCCAGGATTTGAAAAGGCTGCTAGGCCAAAATGACAGTTGGAGAGAGAGAAGAGTTGAACATTCCAAAGGGGCGGAGCCAAAGTTTAAAAATAGGCAGTTAGAGAGTCAAAAGAGAGTGTTAGGGATTCCTGTTTGTGAGAGACAGTTAGGAACTTCTATGAGAGAAAAGAGTTAGGAACTCCTGTTAGAAATAAGCAGTTATGAAGATGTGTTAAAGACTTCTGATATATAGAAGCAGTTAGTTAAATAGAGCTCAAGTTTTAGGAACATAAAGAAAGCCAGTGGTGCTTTAGTCATAATATAATTTCAGTCAAGAGTGTGTAAAGCAAGTAACATGTTTGTGAATGTGAAACATTGAAAGTCTATTTCAGAAAAGTAAACCAAGTATATGATACTAACTGTAAGCCTCAAGATTGCAACAAAACACAAATGTAACCACAAGCGTTGGAGCCAGAAGTTATAAATAAACTGTGTTACTTTGTTATACAGAAGAGTGTCTCATTGTCTGTACAAAGGTTAAACAGCACACAGAAAGACCCAGCTAATATAAAAGAAGAAACTGAATCCTTATAAGAGTAAAGAGGTTTTTCTTAAATAAAGAAATAGTCTCCCTCCCTCGCTACAGCCTGCTACCAAGCCCTTGTTGACATTTCTCCTCTCCCGCAGGATGTGTTGATGAGCTTGGCCAAGGCGGTGGCCAATGCAGCCGCCATGTTGGTCCTGAAGGCCAAGAACGTGGCACAGGTGGCCGAAGACGCCGTCCTGCAGAACAGGGTCATTGCTGCCGCCACCCAGTGCGCCCTCTCCACCTCCCAGCTGGTGGCCTGTGCAAAGGTAGGTATCCCCCCCCCTTGCAAGGGGAGGAGGGTCTCCGGCATAGATGCCCCATAATTGACTCCAATCTGATTCTCACTTTTTGAGGCTGAATGACCCCTCCAAAATGAGGATGTACATTAGATTCGTGTAATATGGTAATCTTAGCACTGAGCCCAAGGCAAAGGAGAAGCTGCTTCAGAAGCTCCTCCCATTTATATAAGGGTCACCATTGTATGTTGCAGTTGTATGTCATGGGACTTGAGCATCCGGGGATGGGGGTCCAGCAGATACTGAGGGTCCACCATCTAGAGATTCCCATTTATACAAGGGTCACCATTGTATGTTGCAATTGGATGTCATGGGACTAGAACATCCGGGGATGGGGGTCCAGCAGATACTGAAGGTCCACCATATAGAGATTCCTATTTATATAAGGGTCACCATTGTATGTTGCAATTGGATGTCATGGGACTTGAGCATCTGGGGATGAGGGTCCTCCATATAATATTCCCATTTATATAAGGGTCACCATTGTATGTTGCCATTGGATGTCATGGGACTCGAGCATCCGGGGATGGAAGTCCAGCAGATACTGAGGGTCCACCGTATAGATATTCCCATTTATATAAGGGTCACCATTGTATGTTGCCATTGGATGTGATGAGACTTGAGCATCTGGGGATGGGGGTCCACCATATAGATGGGGGTCCAGCAGCTACTGAGGGTCCACCGTCTAGATATTCCCATTTATATGAGGGTCACCATTGGATGTTGCCATTGTATGTCATGGAACTTGAGCATCCGGGGATGGAGGTCCAGCAGATACTGAGGGTCCACCATATAGATATTCCCATTTATATAAGGGTCACCATTGTATGTTGCCATTGGATGTCATGGGACTTGAGCATCCGAGGATGGTGGTCCAGCAGATACTGAGGGTCCACAGTATAGATATTCCCATTTATATAAGGGCCACCATTGTATGTTGCCATTGTATGTCATGGAACTTGAGCATCTGGGGATGGAGGTCCAGCAGATACTGAGGGTCCACCGTATAGATATTCCCATTTATATAAGGGTCACCATTGTATGTTGCCATTGGATGTCATGGGACTTGAGCATCCAGGGATGGGGGTCCAGCAGATACTGAGGGTCCACCGTATAGATATTCCCATGTATATAAGGGTCACCATTGTAATGTCATGGGACTTGAGCATCCAAGAATGTTAGTCTGGTAAATACTGCAGGTTCACCATATAGATATGCCCTTTTTTTTATAAGGGTCACCATTATAATTTGCCATTAAATATCATCAGGCTTGAGCACCCGGGGATGTGGGTCTGGTGTATACTGAGTGTCCACTATATAGATACTCCCTTTTATGTCAGAATCCCCATCATAATGTTATTGTTGCAACCCAGAGCAGGAAACTGGACCCTCAGACAACAACCCACCACACTTGACTTCAGGAAAACAATCCTTTTTTATTGAATATAAAATAGAGGAAAAATGCAAAGGTAAAAAGTCACAGTAAAAATCAGCAACAAGAAATGTCCATAAACAAGGTCATAAAACCCACAGCAAAACTGCTGAATCCTGGAACCTGTTAGCAATCCACTAACCGTACTTGGAACAACTAGAAAACCTCCGAGGAACAAGGCCACATGAATCAGGAGACCTGCAAAAGCTTGCACATGAATCTGGAACGATGCCTGGTCTGAAGCTGCATTCAGGCCAGGCATACTTAAGGCCGAGAAATCTATTGCGAGACACGCCTGAAGTTTTTGTTTGCATTTCTCTCAATCTGGCTGACCTACGTAAACTTTGTGCTTCTCCCCGGATCTGCCAAATCTGCCCCCGCCTGTCCTCATTAGGCAGACCAGGTGTCAGATTCTCTGGAGAACTAAGACTGGGAGGAAAAGGGAGTGAAATGTCTCCGCTCGGCTCGGAATGCATGTTCTCATGGGAATCTTGACTTTCGCTTTCCAAGGCTGTAGGATTTTCACTACTCAAACCATCATCATCTAAATTGGCCTCAGAATTCACATTTACATCTACATTGGCATCAGGAAATACAATCAGAGAATCAAGTTCAGGTTCACAAACAGGCTGAACCCCAACAGGTATGGGACTTGAGCATCCAGGAATCAGTATTGCTTATGCTGAAGGTCCGTCATATAGATCAGTGGTTCTCAACCTTTCTGACACCGGGACCCCTAAATATGGTTCCTCATGTTGTGGTGACCCCCAACCTCGCCTACATCGTGTCCTTAGATGGCGAGAGCGCAAGGCAAGCGAGGCAGGCTTTGAGCGAGGCCAGGCCTCGTGCGGAGGACCCCTCACCTGCCCTGCGCCCTCGCTGGATGACTAGAGTGCGAGGCAGGCGAGGTGGGCTTTGCATGAGGCCAGGCCTCGCGTGAAGGAGCCCTCGCCTAGCCCACGCCCTTGGGGCAGGGCCAATGGAGGTGGCCTCGCGACCCCTCCGAAATGGCCAAGCGACCCACCTGGGGGTCGCGACCCCCAGGTTGAGAACCACTGATATAGATATTTCCTTTTTTATAAGAGTCATCATTGTGCATTGCCACTGGATGCCATGGGGCGTCAGCACCAGAGGATGTGGGTCCACCTTATAGATGTTCTCTTTTCTATATGTTGTCATTGGATGCCATGGGGCTACCGAGGGCCCACTGTAGAGATACTTCTGGGGGTCTGGTTTCCCTTCCTGACACGTCTTTGGGGTCCCGCAGGTCGTGAGCCCCACCATCAGCTCCCCGGTCTGCCAGGAGCAGCTGATGGAGGCAGGGCGGCTGGTGGACCGGTCGGTGGAGGGCTGCGTGAGGGCTTGCCAGGCGGCCACTGACGACATAGAGCTGCTGAAGCAAGTGAGCGCGGCAGCTGGCGTGGTCAGCCAAGCCCTGAGTGACCTCCTGCAGCACGTGCGGCAGTTCGCCAGCCGCGGGGAGCCCATCGGCCGCTACGACCAGGCCACCGACACCATCATGTGCGTCACCGAGAGTATCTTCAGCTCCATGGGGGATGCCGGTAAGACTACCCATGGGGCAGTGGTGGTGGGGCACCACTGCGTCTTGCCTTCTACTAAAACACACATTTTGAGAGTATAACATATTTGAATATCCATTAAATTATTTTAATTTTATTATTAAAAATTACAAAATGACTTTTTCCGAACCTTGTTTTTTAAGAACCCAACAATACAGCAATTGGATAATTCCAGTTTAAGCAGAAGGATAGAAAGAATATTCAGAAATGTCTTTTAAATGATTGAAAACGTGTTAAAATAATAATAATAATAATAATAATAATAATAATACTGTATATACTTGAGTATAAGCCTAGTTTTTCATCTTATTGTTTTTCATCTTTAGAGTAAAACAATAAATTTACTACTACTAATAATAATAATAATAAAGTAAAATAATGGAAATGCAATAATAAATGTAATAATAGAGTAAAATAATAAATGTAATAATAGAGTAAAATAATAAATGTAATAATAAAGTAAAATAAGAAATGTAATAATAATAATAATAATAATAATAATAAAGTAAAATAATGGAAATGCAATAATAAATGTAATAATAGAGTAAAATAAGAAATGTAATAATAATAATAATAATAATAATAATAATAAAAAAGTAAAATAATGGAAATGCAATAATAAATGTAATAATAGAGTAAAATAATAAATGTAATAATAAAGTAAAATAAGAAATGTAATAATAATAATAATAATAATAATAAAGTAAAATAATGGAAATGCAATAATAAATGTAATAATAGAGTAAAATAATAAATGTAATAATAAAGTAAAATAAGAAATGTAATAATAATAATAATAATAATAATAATAAAGTAAAATAGTGGAAATGCAATAATAAATGTAATAATAGAGTAAAATAATAAATGTAATAATAAAGTAAAATAAGAAATGTAATAATAATAATAATAATAAAGTAAAATAGTGGAAATGCAACAATAAATGTAATAATAGAGTAAAATAATAAATGACATAATAAAGTAAAATAATAAATGTAATAATAATCATAAACAGTGTAAAATACTGTAAATATAATAATAATAGAGTAAATGAATACATGAAATAAAGTTAATATACTAATAATAATAATACTAATAACAGAGTAAAATAATAAATAACCTTGACTCGAGTATAAGCCGAGGCGAGCTTTTTCAGCCTAAAAAGGGGGCTGAAAAATTAGGCTTATACTCGAGTATATACAGTACTTGTTGTTTGTAGGAATCCTTGGACCTCCAGCATGACTTTAAGGTCAACATCTGCTACAAGGTGATTGCATAATTGCAATGGAGGACCTACTTGATGTCTCTAGGAATCCTTAGGACCTCCAGCATGACCTTATGGCCAACTCCTGCTGGACTCTGGCCATCGTGTTGTGCTGGAGGCCTGAGAGATTCCTCCTTGTTATCATCGTTTCTAACCCTGTTCCATTGCAGGTGAGATGGTCCGCCAAGCCCGGGTCCTGGCCCAGGCGACCTCTGACCTCGTGAATGCCATGCGCTCGGATGCCGAGGCGGAGATCGACATGGAGAACTCCAAGAAGCTTCTGGCAGCCGCAAAGCTCCTGGCCGACTCGACCGCCAGGATGGTGGAGGCCGCAAAGGTACCCCAAGAAAAGCCACGAAAGAGAGAGAGTTGAGGGGCAGTTATTGAAGTCATGGGGAAGGCATGTAAGCAAAAGCAGTTGTTGTTTATTTATTTTATTTGTTTACTTTGTTTTATACCCCGCCGTCTTGCCCTCGTTGTGAGATTCAGAGCGGCTAACAGTTGGCAATAATTCAATGTCATTCATTTTTATCCAGAGAAGAGTGGAAACTGAGTAATCCGCAACTTAAGCCTATAGGTGTTGAAAGAACTTATCGGGTGTGATCCAAGATTGCTGGTTGACCTACATTACTAGCTGTACATAGTAATTACCATCATAATTACCCTTTAGAGCAGCATAACGGCTTCTGAGGAGATCTACTGTATTCTAAAAACTCATACAGTTATACCCTATCGGGTGTGATCCAAGATTGCTAGTTGACCTACATTACCAGCTGTACATAGTAATTACCATCATAATTACCCTTTAGAGCAGCATAACGGCTTCTGAGGAGATCTACTGTATTCTAAAAACTCATACAGTTATACCCTATCGGGTGTGATCCAAGATTGCTGGTTGACCTACATTACCAGCTGTACATAATAATTACCATCACAATTACCCTTTAGAGCAGCATAATGGCTTCTCTCCAACCTGCTCCTCAGAGCAGAGCCTTTGAGCGTAGATCTCCTCAGAGAAAAACCTCTCCAGAACTGGATTCTAAAAATCCATACAGTTATGCTCTGTCGTGTGTGGTCCAGGATTGCTGGTTGACCTACATTACCAGCTGTACATTATAATTACCATCATAATTACCCTTTAGAACAGCATAACGGCTTCTCCCCAACCTGCTCCTCAGAGCAAAGCCATTGAGCATAGATCTCCTCAGAGAAAAGCTCTCCAGAACTGTATTCTAAAAATCCATACAGTTATACTCTGTCGGGTGTGGTCCAAGATTGCTGGTTGACCTACATTACCAGCTGTACATAATATTACCATCATAATTACCCTTTAAAACAGCATAATGGCTTCTCCCCAACCTGCTCCTCAGAGCAGAGCCATTGAGCATAGATCTCCTCAGAGAAAAGCTCTCCAGAACTGTATTCTAAAAATCTATACAGTTATACTCCGTCGGGTGTGGTCCAAGATTGCTGGTTGACCTACATTAACAGCGGTACATAATAATTACCATCATAATTACCCTTTAGAGCAGCATAACGGCTTCTCTCCAACCTGCTCCTCAGAGCAGAGCTTTTAGCATAGATCTCAGAGAAAAAGCTCTCCAGAACTGTATTCTAAAAACCCATACAGCTGTACCCTATCGGGTGTGGTACAGGATTGCTGGTTGACCTACATTACCAGCTGTACATAGTAATTACCATCATAATTACCCTTTAGAGAAGCATAATGGCTTCTCCCCAACCTGCTCCTCAGAGCAGAGCCATTGAGCATAGATCTCCTCAGAGAAAAGCTCTCCAGAACGGTATTCTAAAAATCTATACAGTTTTACTCTGTCGGGTGTGGTCCAAAATTGCTGGTTGACCTACATTACCAGCTGTACATAATAATTACCATCATAATTACCCTTTAGAGCAGCATAATGGCTTCTCTCCAACCTGCTCCTCAGAGCAGAGCTTTTAGCATGGATCTCAGAGAAAAAGCTCTCCAGAACTGTATTCTAAAAACCCATACAGTTGTACCCTATCGGGTGTGGTCCAAGATTGCTGGTTGACCTACATTACCAGCTGTACATAATAATTACCATCACAATTACCCTTTAGAGAAGCATAACGGCTTCTCTCCAACCTGCTCCTCAGAGCAGAGCCTTTGAGCGTAGATCTCCTCAGAGAAACAGCTCTCCAGAACTGTATTCTAAAAACCCATAGAGTTATACTCTGTCGTGTGTGGTCCAGGATTGCTGGTTGACCTACATTACCAGCTGTACATAATAATTACCATCACAATTACCCTTTAGAGAAGCATAACGGCTTCTCCCCAACCTGCTCCTCAGAGCAGAGCCTTTGAGCGTAGATCTCCTCAGAGAAACAGCTCTCCAGAACTGTATTCTAAAAACCCATACAGTTATACTCTGTCGTGTGTGGTCCAGGATTGCTGGTTGACCTACATTACCAGCTGTACATAGTAATTACCATCATAATTACCCTTTAGAGCAGCATAACGGCTTCTCCCCAACCTGCTCCTCAGAGCAGAGCCTTTGAGCGTAGATCTCCTCAGAGAAAAAGTTCTCCAGAACTGTATTCTAAAAATCCATACAGTTATACCCTGTCGGGTGTGGTCCAGGATTGCTGGTTGACCTACATTACCAGCTGCACATAATAATTACCATTATAAGGTTTTTCTAGTTTCCCCTTTTCCCTGGAGAACAATGAACTGCTTTTGCTTAAGGTGGGAGAGGGCATTAAACTGCATCAATTCTCTAGTACAGATTCCCCAATTGCTACTTAAGAGGCAAGACATTTATGATCAAAATAATTCCAAGTTGAGTTTATATTTAATTTTTCCTATTTGTGGAAAATGGCAAATTCTAAGAGTTATGTTCACTTTTCTCAGTTTGTTTGGAGCCGGGGAAGAAAGCCAGCAATGGTGGTGGGTTTCCTCCATCACCACCATTTAAAGTCCAGATTTTAGGAATCCAGTTGTACCACTTACATAGTGTTCATTTCAATCTCCTTTTCCCTGCTGTTTGTATGCCAGTTGTGTGTTTCTTAATGTGTGCGTTTTGCCAGGGAGCGGCAGCCAACCCGGAAAACGAAGACCAGCAGCAGCGTCTCCGGGAAGCGGCCGAAGGCCTGCGAGTGGCCACTAACGCGGCCGCCCAAAACGCCATCAAGAAGAAGATCGTGAACCGGCTGGAGGTCAGAATGATTTTCCATCACACTTAATAGCTTTGGCTGAATGTAGAATATGCCGAAGCAACTGAATGTTTGGCTCCGTTTGCCTTCCATCTTTTCCATGAGGTGGCATCACTCTAGAACTTTAAGGCGGTGAATGGACCTCATGGAAATAAAATGGCACATTGGCTCAAATGTAATGCTCACCTTTTTGGGCTATCTGACCTTCGCCAAATGAGACTGTGCATTAGATTCGCATCATGCGGTGATCATGTTAGCACCGAGCCAAAGCAAAAGACGAAGCCGCTTCAGGAGCTCCTCTTTAAAGGATATCATTATTACAGTAGAGTTGTTGTCGAGCAATTTAGAATGGCTGTGGATAGTGAGATCCAAGCCATTGTGGGTTTAGTCTGGTCAGAAAAAGAAGCCAATATTCCAGAATAAATATCACCAAGTTTTGACCACTGAGGTTTTATTTATGATGATTGCAGTAATATGCCAACAAATCGACACAACCCACTGGGCTGAGAAATACAATATTTATAGAGCTGTCAACTTCAAGTCTCCCGTGCCCACCCCCTGAGCCAGCTTCTTTGTGATTGGCTGTGATGTCAGTGAGCCAGGAGGAGATCCAATGAGGGTCCTGGCCCTGCTTTGGCCGCTCAGCCAATGAGGTGGGAGGAGGTGGGCAACAGGGAAACAACGAAGAAATATCCAGGTGACTGAATTACAAATGACCGATGTTTGCCAAATGACTTGGTGATAGCTTCAGGCTCTCAAGCCTGGTCTGAGTTATTGTTTTTGTCTCTTGAATTGTCATTTTTGTCTCGCCCCGAGAGGCCAGGTCCTTCGTCTTACTGTCCTGCGACATGGAGTTCATGGATGAAGCCGAGATAGGTCAGGATGTGGCACAGCAGGGAGATGGTGACAAATCCCTGGTTCCTTGCAGATTAGGAAATGTCCTTTGTGTTGAGTGATTCAATATATCCATAGACTCCATTATTCTGGATGGCCCGGCTATCAGCCCTCTGAAGTCCAGGCAAATAGAGCCATTTACTTATTGTCCTTGCAAATGGATCTGGTTGAGTCCTTTGCTAGGGGATTATTGGCTTAGGAAGTTTGGAAACTCCAAGATCCACGAGTTGCTGGTATATGAAAATCATAGAATCATGGAATCATAGAATGAAAGAGTGGGAAGAGACCTCATGGGCCATCCAGTCCAACCCCATTCTGCCAAGAAGCAGGAATATTGCATTCAAATCACCCCTGACAGATGGCCATCCAGCCTCTGTTTAAAAACTTCCAAAGAAGGAGCCTCCACCACACTCCCTCCGGGGCAGAGAGTTCCACTGCTGAATGCCTCTCACAGTCAGGAAGGTCTTCCTCATGTTCAGGTGGAATCTCCTTTCTTGTAGTTTGAAGCCATTGTTCCATTGCGTCCTAGTCTCCAGGGAAGCAGAAAACAAGCTTGCTCCCTCTTCCTCCCTGTGGCTTCCTCTCACATATTTATACATGGCTATCATATCTCCTCTCAGCCTTCTCTTCTTCAGGCTAAACATGCCCAGCTCCTTAAGCCGCTCCTCATAGGGCTTGTTCTCCAGACCCTTGATCATTTGAGTCGCCCTCCTCTGGACACATTCCAGCTTGTCAATATCTCTCTTGAATTGTGGTGCCCAGAATTGGACACAATATTCCAGGTGTGGTCTAACCAAGGCTGAATAGAGCATGGGGAGCATGACTTCCCTAGATCTAGACACTAGGCTCCTATTGATGCAGGCCAAAATCCCATTGGCTTTTTTTGCCGCCACATCACATTGTTGGCTCATGTTTATCTTCCTGTCCACGAGGACTGCAAAATCTTTTTCACACGTACTGCTCTCGAGCCAGGCCTCATTGTCCTGATATCGTGGTCGATTTTGGAGGGTGTCCCCGGTAAGAGAGACCCCGGGGACCACACCAAAGAGGGTCCCTAAACCTTGGTGAGAACAGGGAAGTCGAATTCCGGCGATAAAAATATTAAAAATAACATAAATCCCACCAAAGCAGAAGAAGATGGCGACCGAGGCTCTTTATTAGCGATTCAGCTGAGATCGGATGCAATTGTGGGAATATTTCCACCACAAGCATATCAACACAGAGTTTTACAGGCATTTTATAGGCAAAATACAGAAAAACATTTCAAATTTCCCGCCCGCCCCTCCCCGCCCGGCTTCTCGCTGATTGGTTGACCGCCCAAACACCTGGGAGGAGGCTTGGCGGCCCGCCTCGCTCTGGGCCAATCATCAGGCTTCCCCGCCTCTGGGGAGCCAATCCGGACGCTCCTCTCGCTTCCAAGGATGGACAAATCAGGGAAGAGGAGGCGGGACGAGCGCGGACAATGGGAAGGCAAGGGGATTATGATGTTATCGGCCAGCTGGGGCATTGAGGCATAGTCTGGCCGGAAAAAAACTTGATTGAATTAGAGAGATTTTCCTGTTCTTGATCGAATAAGGTGTGCCTATCAATGGGTTTGTGGAAGAAGTAAACAGAGCCGGGCGAGAAGGTCCCCCGGGTCCAGCCTCGTCCTTTTGTGATTGAATTAAAATGTCCAAAGAAATCCCTTTATCAGACCAACTCAGAAAATAAACAAAGAATCTCCAGTTGTTATTGTCCATGCAAATATTTGGTGGCAAGGTTGGTTTCGAGGGAGATAATGGCCCTCCCTCAGGCACTGAATGTTTCCTGGTCACCTTTTTCAGAGGGCAAGGGGGAAAGCAGAAGGGCAAATAATATTTCATAGAAAGATACATAGGCATTTAAACCATAGGCATTACATAGTACAAAGATCCCATCCCTAACCCATGTCCCAAGTATATTTAATAAAAGAATTGATTTTTATTTGGAGGCTTTGAGTCCAAGGAAAAGCAGCCCCGAAGGTCATCTAGTCCAGCCCCCTTCTGCCAGGTAGGAAGATAGAATTACTATTACATTACTATGCATTATTATTATTGCTATAAGACTCAGGCAGTTGGAAGGGAGCCCCAAAGGTCATCTAGTCCTCCCGTCCTCCTCTTCCTTGCCCCTCCTCTGCCCTTGCTGTCATAGGTTCGCCATCACGGGCATTAGATTAACGATGCATGAGACTCACATCATTCCAATATATTCCTTTTTTTTTCCAGGTTGCGGCTAAGCAGGCGGCAGCGGCCGCGACCCAAACCATCGCTGCTTCGCAAAATGCGGCCATTTCCAACAAGAACACCTCCGCTCACCAACAACTGGTCCAGAGCTGCAAGGTAAACGTCACCTGAGGTCAGGAACCATCAATCAAATGGGTGGCGGGAATGATCCTTTGTGTTGTCCCTATTGATGTCTCTCATTCGTCCACCATAAGGGATATTGGGTTGTTGTAGGTTTTTCCGGGCTATATAGCCATGGTCTAGAGGCATTCTCTCCTGACGTTTTGCCTGCATCTATGGCAAGCATCCTCAGAGGTAGTGAGGTCTGTTGGAACGAGGAAAAAGGGTTTATCTATCTGTGGAATAATGACCAGGGTGGGACAAAGGACTCTTGTCTGCTGGAGCTAGGGGTGAATGGGTTGTTGTAGGTTTTTTCAGGCTATATGGCCATGTTGTAGAGGCATTCTCTCCTTACGTTTCGCCTGCATCTGTGGCAGCCATCCTCAGAGGTAGTGAGGTCTCTTGGAAGTAGGAAAATGGGTTTATATATCTGTGGAATGACCAGGGTGGGACAAAGGACTCTTGTCTGCTGGAGCTAGGTGTGAATGGGTTGTTGTAGGTTTTTTTGGCCTATATTGCCATGTTCTAGAGGCATTCCCTCCTGACGTTTCGCCTGCATCTGTGGCAAGAATCCTCAGAAGTAGTGAGGTCTGTTGGAACTAGGAAAAAGGGTTTATATATCTGTGGAATGACCAGGGTGGGACAAAGGACTCTTGTCTGCTGGAGCTAGGTGTGAATGTTTCAACTGACCACCTTGATTAGCATATAATGGCCTGACAGTGCCTGGGGCAAACCTTTGTTGAGAGGTGATTAGATGTATTGTCGAAGGCTTTCATGGACGGAATGGAGCCTCTGGTGGCGCAGTGGATTAAACCCCTGTGCCGGCAGGACTGAAGACCAACAGGTCGCAGGTTCGAATCCGGGGAGAGGCGGGTGAGCTCCCTCTATCAGCTCCAGTTCCTCATGTGGGGACGTGAGAGAAACCTCCCACAAGGAGGATAAAAACATCAAATCATCCAAGCGTCCCCTGAGCAATGTCCTTGCAGAGGGCCAATTCTCTCACACCAGGAGTCACTTCTGACACAACCAAAAAAAAAAAATGGCCAGATTCACTGAGTTGTTGTAGGTTTTTCCAGGTTATATGGCCATGTTCTAGAGGCATTTTCTCCTGACGTTTCGCCTGCATCTATGGCAAGCATCCTCAGAGGTTGTGAGGTCTGTTGGAACTAGGAAAATGGGTTGATAGATCTGTGGAATGACCAGGGTGGGACAAAGGACTCTTGTCTGCTGGAGTTAGGTGGGAATGTTTCAACTGACCACCTCGATTAGCATTTAATGGCTTGGAAGTGCCTGGGGGGAATCTTTTGTTGAGAGTGATTTGATGTACCTGATTGTTTACTTTCTGTTATTTTGCTGTTGTAATTTTAGAGTTTTTTTTAAATACTGGTAGCCAGATTTTGTTCATTTCCATGGTTTCCTCCTTTCTGTTGACACTGTCCGCCTGCTTCTTGTGGATTTCAATGGCTTCTCTGTGTAGTCTGACATGGTGGTTGTTGGTGTGGTCCACCATTTCTGTGTTCTCCAATAACATGCTGTGTCCAGGTTGGTTCCTCAGGTGCTCAGCTATGGCTGACTTCTCTGGTTACATCAACAGCTATGTAAATCGGAAGCCCTTCCACCTAGGCTTAATGGACTCCCAAAAATCCATAAGGACTCCACCCCACTCAGACCTATAGTGAGTGCCATTGGATCCCCCATGTATGACTTAGCAAGATGTCTTGCTGCACAGCTACAAAGCCATATTGGGCTCACTACACACTACATCAAGGACTCAGCCCACTTCATTGAAAAAATCATAAATCTCAAGCTAAATACCAATGACAAACTGATCAGCTTCGATGTGGTGTCTCTATTGACCATGGTCCCGGTAGCAGACACCATGGCACTCATCAACCAGAGGTTCCCAGAAGACACCACAGCTTGTCTTAACCCAGCTAAACGTCTTCCGGGCCAAGCAGCTTAAAACTATTATTATTATTATTATTATTATTATTATTATTATTATTATTATTATTTTATATTTTTATTATTAAGAATGGATGGCCATCTGTCAGGGGTGCTTTAATATACAATTATATTAATATAATATAATAACATACAATTAACATATAATATATGTGACGATGTGTAAATTTTATTCCTTTGGTTATGTGTAATTTAAATAGTGGTTTAAGGATGGTAAGTATGTAGGATTGTGTTTTGTTGGAGATGGTGGCTTGGCGTTGGCTGAGTTGCCATAGCAACAGGGGCGGAGCCAACTGCCTCTTCATGGGGCAGCTGTTTTTGAAAGTCAGTCAGTAAGCCGGTGAGCTACTGGGTAGACTGAGTCTCTGGGTGGAGATTCAGGGAATGTGTCTGTAGCCGGTGTGCTATAGGGAAGACTGAGTCTCTGGGTGGAGATTCAGGGAATGTGTCTGTAGCCAGTGGGCTATAGGGAATTCTGTTAAATAAGCCTTTTAGCTTATTTGTTATATTAGGACAGTTGTCCAGAAGGGTTACATCTGCTTATAGAAACTTCTTGAAGACTGTGCCTGAGATTACTCATGAAACATTACTAATGTAACCAATCAAGATTTGTGCCTCTTGTGAAGAAACAGTTAAACATGTTATACTCCTGTTAAAATAAACTTGTTACTGTTTTCCTCAAGCCTTGCCTGATACAGTTTCTCCTAAGTTGAACAGCCTGCATAAGTAAAGTCAAGCCAGGGACAGTAAATGCTACGCTATCAAATGAATAAAGCCTTCTGTAATTAATAGTCCCTTTATAAAATAGCTCTTAAGCTGATATTGATCGTTGCCTGGCTTCCCTCACAGATTAGGTGGCAGTAAGTTTTACCACCCACTCCTTCACAATTGGTGGCATTCGGTGGCATTAAAACGGTCTGCTTCACAATATAATATAATAATAATATAATATAATAATATACAATTATATTATAATAATATGATATAATAATACATACGAAAATAATTACGAAAATTGGAAAAATTGTTTCGATTCTTAATTACTCCTCACACTGTTCCTGAATGGCTCGATATTGGATCGAAAGCTAATTTAAATACGAATTCATAACGAGTTTAGAAACTAACGAACACGATCAACCAAGCCTAATAAACAATACAGTAAGAAATCTGAATTATATACGTAACAAATAACGAGTGTAGGACGTTTGTAGAAGGTTGTTGTTTCCAACAGAAGGTGTTGACCAAAACCTCTCGGTTTGCTTGCAGAGCGTTGCTGACCACATCCCGCAGCTGGTGCAAGGCGTGAGGGGCAGCCAAGCCCAGGCCGAGGACCTCAGCGCCCAGCTGGCCCTCATCAACTCCAGCCAGAACTTCCTCCAGGTAGGAAACCCCCATATACGGCTCTGGCACAGCCCTACGTCCCTCCTCGTAATCTAAGATCATCCGGGGAGGCCCTGCTCTCGCTCCCATCAACAGCAGAAATTTGTCTGGCGGGGACGAGAGACAGAGCCTTCTCGGTTGTGGCTCCCCACCTATGGATCACACTCCCAAATGAGGTAAGATCTGCTCCTTCCTTCCTGTCTTTTAGGGAAAAAAATTAAAATCATGGTTCTGGGACCAGACCTTCGGACAGTAGATGTATGTAGCATTTTAGAGAGACGTTGACTGGAGCGGCGATTCGACTGACGAGACTGTTTTATGGTTTTAATGCTTGTTGATGTATTGTTATAATTGTGATTTATGCTTAATTGTGGTTTTACTATTGCAATTATTTGTATTGGCATCGTATCGGTGCCCAACGTAAGGCATTGAATCTTGTTGTTATTTATGTTTACACCGCTTTGAGTCCCCCCGGGGGGTTATTTATTTATTTATCGTGTCATCAGCAACCAGACATTTGTATTACATTTTTAACACAAACAAACAAACAAACAGACAGACAAAACACAGAATTTGCAAGCTTGATGGTTGATTAAATGTCCTTTGAGCAGTATTTGGCCCCTTGGAGTGCCTCTGGTGTTGCCGCAAGGAGGTCCTCCCTTGTACATGTAGCAGGGCTCAGGTTGCATTGCAGTAGGTGGTCAGTGGTTTGCTCTTCTCCACACTCGCATGTCGTGGATTCCACTTTGTGGCCCCATTTCTGAAGGTTGACTCTGCATCTCGTGGTGCCCGAGTGCAGTCTGTTCAGCGTCTTCCAAGTCGCCCCGTCTTCTGTGTGCCCAGGGGGAGTCTCTCATTTGTTATTCTGGGTTTGAGCCTGCCACTTTTGGACTCTCGCTTGCTGAGGTGTTCCAGCAAGTGTCTCTAGATCTTAGAAAACTATTTCTTGATTTAAGTCGTTGACATGCTGGCTGATACCCAAACAGGGGATGAGCTGGAGATGTCTCTGCCTTGGTCCTTTCACTATTGACTGCCACTTATTTATTTATTTGTTTGTTTGTTTATTTACAGCTTTTCTATTCGGCCCTTCTCCTCACCCCGCAGGGGACTCAGGGCGGATTACAGTGTTCACATATATGGCAAACATTCAATGCCATTTTTTGACATTCAAACATATACAGACATACACAGAGGCTATTTAACTTTTTCTGGCCGCCAGGGGAGCTGTCGCTTTCATCGTCCATCTGCGATGCTGATGAAGCACTTCCGCATTCCCTGCATGCTTTTTGCTGGAGTGCTTGCTGGAATCTTTTTTTTATGGCCTCATAAATTAGTTAATTTAGCCTCCCCGCACTTTTTAAGGTGGTACCTAATTTTCCTACTTGACAGATGCAACTGTCTTTCGGGTTGCAAAGGTCAACAACAGGCTACACAGTTGGTTGGAAACTCACTCCAACCCGGGCTGGCTTCGAAGTCATTACCTTTTGGTCAGAGTGATCTTAATGCAGCTGACACTCAGCAAGATGCACCACAATCCCAGTGCTTCCCGGCGGATGTCAGGTGGTGCAATACTGGCTAAGCAGTGTAATTTCTCCCGTGGTGTAGGGCGCAGACACCCCGTGATAATGCGACATGTCTCATTCAGAGCCACATCCACTGTTTTAGTGTGGTGAGATGTGTTCCACACTGGGTATGCGTACTCAGCAGCAGAGTAGCACAGCGCAAGGGCAGATGTCTTCACTGTGTCTGGTTGTGATCCCCAGGTTGTGCCAGTCAGCTTTCGTATGATATTGTTTCTAGCGCCCACTTTTTGCTTGATGTTCAGGCAGTGCTTCTTGTAGGTTGTATTTATTGTTGTATTTGTATGCTGTTGTTGTTGTGGCTTTGACCTTTGAAAGCTGCATCGAGTCCTTCAGGAGATTTTGCAGGGTATAAATAAAGATAATAATAATAATAATAATAATAATAATAATAATAATAATAATAATAATAGGTCATAGCACGGTCCAGAGTGACTCCCAGGTATTTGGGTGCGTTGCAATGCTCCAGTGGAATTTTTCCCAGGTGATCCTCAGAGCTCGGGATGCTTGTCTGTTTTAAGGTGAAAGGCGCATGTCTGTGTTTTAGATGAGTTAGGGATCAGCTTGAAGTGACTGGACTGACCTTGAGGGAGCTGGGGGTGGTAACGGCCGACAGGGAGCTCTGGCGTGGGCTGGTCCATGAGGTCACGAAGAGTCGGAGACGACTGAACGAATGAACCACAACAAGGGATCAGCTGGTTTTCCCTGTCATAGTAAGAGCACCTAGAGCTTCGGAGAGCTTCTGTTCAACCATCTCAAAGCTCCCTACTTGAGCGGTCATGGCACGATCATCAGCATAGATGAAATCCTCTGTCCTTTCTGGCAGTGGCTGGTCATTTGTGTAGATGTTGAACATGGATGGAGCAAGCACGCTCCCCTGAGGCAGGCCGTTCTTCTGTTTCCGCCATCTGCTTCTCTGGCCCTGGGACTCAACAAAAAAGCTCCTGTTTTGTAGCAGGTTTCCTATGAGGCGGGTCAGGTGGTCGTCCTTTGTGAGATTATATATATGATATATGGTTAGGGATCAGCTGGTTTAGACAGATAGGCATGGACTGCATATGATAGAAAGACAGAGAGGAAGAGACAGGAGGTAAGACAAGTGGAGTAGTCAAAACTGTCCATGGTCAACACTCTCCTGCCATTCGTTGTCTCCATTGTCTCTCTGTTTCAATCACCTTCAGCCGGGGAGCAGGATGGTGTCCTCGGCCAAGGCGGCGGTGCCCACGGTGGGGGACCAGGCGGCCGCCATGCAGCTCAGCCAATGCGCCAAGAACCTGGCCACCAGCCTGGCAGAGCTGCGCACCGCATCGCAGAAGGTAGGTCTTGGAGATCAAGTGGACTTTCTGTTAGATATATGCAGTGTTGTGGTGAATGACTTGGCCGATGTGCCGCCCTCTCTCTCTCTCTCTCTCTCTCTGTGCGCAGGCACATGAAGCCTGTGGCCCCATGGAGATCGACTCCGCCTTGAGCACCGTCCAGACCCTCAAGAACGAGCTCCAGGATGCCAAGATGGCCGCTGTGGAGGGGCAGCTGAAGCCGCTTCCGGGAGAAACGGTAGATGGCACATGGAAGATATGAATGACTAGCCGTCCCCTGCCACGCGTTGCTGTGGCCCAGTCTGTGTATATGTGTTTTGTGTGTATATATTCCCCCCTTTTCTTTTCTTCTTTCTCTACCTCTTTCCTTCCTTTGCTCTTTGCTTCCATTTATTTATTTATTTCTCTATTTATTTATCTATTTATTTCTTTATTTCTTTTTTTATCTATTTATTTCTTTTTTCTTTCCCTCCCTCTTTCTCTCTTTTCTTCCTTCTCTACCTCTTTCCTTCCTTCTATCTTTGCTTCCATGCTTCATTCTCCCTTTCTTTCTTTCTTTCTTTCTTTCCCACCCTCTTTCTTTTCTTTTCTTTTCTTTTCTTTTCTTTCTTTCTTTCTTTCTTTCTTTTCTCTTCCTTAAACTACCAACTTCATTAATTTAATTTTTATTTCTTTCTTCTCCCTTATATTGTTTACCTATTCCTTCCTTTTTTTCTTCTTATCCATTTATGAACTTATATAAAATATTTATACTTACATTAATTCATTAATTCATTAATTCATTAATTCATTAATTCATTAATTCATTTTTAATTAATTAATTACCTTCATTATCTAATTACACATAATTAATTAATTACTTATATACTTCCATTAATTCCTTCATTATTCATTAATTAATTACTTCCTTCCATTAATTAATTCATACTATCTTTATTTATCACATTTAATTCCTCCAATTCATTAATTTAATTTTTTATTTATTTATAACATTTATATTTTACAATTCTAACTTCCATTATTTTATTATATATAATTTAATTAATTATCTAAAATATTTAATTCCATTCCATTAAATATGTGATAAATAGATTATTATATACGAATTAATTAATTAATTTATTAATTACTTCATAATTAATCTATAATTCAATAATTATTACATTCATTCCTTACTAATCTATCTTTCTTTCTACCATTACTTCAACTAAACACTCATTCAATTTAATTTTTTTATCTCTTTATCAAATGAATTAATTCTTTAAACTTTTCAATACAATTATTTTATTCCATCTAAATCATTTCTTAATTATATAAAATATTTCTTACTTAATTAATATTTGCTTCAATGGCTTACTTCTCTACTTCCTTCATTCTCACTTTTCTTCCTACTTCATTCCTTCTCTCCTTCCCTGCCTTCCTTCCTTCCTTCCTTTTCCTTCCTTCTCCTTCCTTCCTCCTTTCTTTTTTTCTCCCCTTCCTTCCCTCCCACTTCCTTCCTTTCCTTTTTTTCTTTCTTTCTCCCCTGCCTTCCTTCTTTACCCTTCTTCCCTTCCCTTCTTTTCTTCTCTCTCCTTTCTTCCTTCTCTACCTCTTTCCTTCCTTCCTTCACTCTTTGCTTCCATGCTTCCTTCTCTCCTTCCTTCCTTCCTTCCTTCCTTCCTTCCTTCCTTCCTTCCTTCCTTCCTTCCTTCCTTCCTCTATCTTTCTTTCTCCCCTTCCTTCCCTCCCACTTCCTTCCTTTCCTTTTTTTCTTTCTTTCTCCCCTTCCTTCCTTCTTTACCCTTCTTCCCTTCCCTTCTTTTCTTCTCTCTCCTTTCTTCCTTCTCTACCTCTTTCCTTCCTTCCTTCACTCTTTGCTTCCATGCTTCCTTCTCTCTTCCTTCCTTTCCTTCCTTCCTTTCCTTCCTCCTTCCTCCTTCCTTCCTTCTCTCCTTCCCTCCTTCTTCTTCCTTCTCCTTTTCTCTTCCTTCCTTCCTTCCTTCCTTCCTTCCTTCCTTCCTTCCTTCCTTCCTCTATCTTTCTTTCTCCCCTTCCTTCCCTCCCACTTCCTTCCTTTCCTTTTTTTCTTTCTTTCTCCCCTTCCTTCCTTCTTTACCCTTCTTCCCTTCCCTTCTTTTCTTCTCTCTCCTTTCTTCCTTCTCTACCTCTTTCCTTCCTTCCTTCACTCTTTGCTTCCATGCTTCCTTCTCTCCTTCCTTCCTTCCTTCCTTCCTTCCTTCCTTCCTTCCTTCCTTCTCTCCTTCCCTCTTTCCCTCTCTCCTTCTCTCCATCCTTTCTCCTTCCTTCCTTCCTTCCTTCCTTCCTTCCTTCCTTCCTTCCTTCCTCTATCTTTCTTTCTCCCCTTCCTTCCCTCCCACTTCCTTCCTTTCCTTTTTTTCTTTCTTTCTCCCCTTCCTTCCTTCTTTACCCTTCTTCCCTTCCCTTCTTTTCTTCTCTCTCCTTTCTTCCTTCTCTACCTCTTTCCTTCCTTCCTTCACTCTTTGCTTCCATGCTTCCTTCTCTCCTTCCTTCCTTCCTTCCTTCCTTTCTTCCTTCCTTCCTTCCTTCCTTCTCTCCTTCCTTCCTTCCTTCCTTCCTTCCTTCCTTCCTTCCTTCCTTCCATGTGTGTGAGTGCCTTTATTTATTTGGAGCATTTATTAACCGCCATTCTCAGCCCACTCGGGCGACTCACGGCGGTGTACAGTACAAAAGGCAATTCACACAAAGACAAGTACAACAGCATATTAACCATACAACAATACAACAGTTAAAATTACACTAACTAATCCGCTTCGTCTCGTAATAGAATCGTGACCAATCTCGTATTCCTTGTACCATTCCAGTCGTCTTTACCACATTACTATAGCACTTAATTAAATGCCCTCTCGAACAGCCACGTCTTGAGGCTTTTTCGGAAGGACAAAAGAGAGGGCGCCTGCCTGATGTCTGTAGGGAGAGTGTTCCACAACCGGGGGGCCACCACTGAGAAGGCCCTCTCTCTCGTCCCCGCCAGGCGTGCCTGTGAGGCAGGCGGGATCGAGAGAAGGGCCTCCCCAGACGATCTCAAGGTCCTCGTGGGCTCATAGGCCAAGATGCGGTCTGAAAGGTATTTTGGGCCGGAGCCGTTCAGGGCTTTGTAGGCCAACACCAGCACCTTAAATTGGGCCCGGTAGCAAATCGGCAGCCAGTGGAGCTGGGACAACAAGGGTGTTGTGTGCTCCCTGTATCCCGCTCCAGTTAGTAACATGGCTGCCGCACGCTGAACCAGCTGAAGCTTCCGGGCCGTCTTCAAGGGCAGCCCCACGTAGAGAGCGTTGCAGTAGTCAAGCCGGGATGTGACCAGAGCGTGTACCACCGTGGCCAAGTCAGACTTCCCGAGATACGGGCGCAGCTGGCGCACGAGCCGGAGCTGTGCAAATGCTCCCCTGGTCACCGCTGAAACCTGGGGATCCAGGCTCAACGATGAATCCAGGGTCACACCCAAGCTGCGAACCTGCGCCTTCAAGGGGAGTGCAACCCCATCCAGCACAGGCTGTAACCCTATATCCCGTTCGGCCTTGCGACTGACCAGGAGTACCTCTGTCTTGTCTGGATTTAGTTTCAGTTTGTTCGCCCTCATCCAGACCGTCACAGCGGCCAGGCACCGGTTCAGGACCTCGACAGCCTCCTTAGTAGCAGGTGGAAAGGAGTGACAGAGTTGGACATCATCTGCGTACAGATGACACCGCACCCCGAAACTCCGGATGATCTTACCCAGCGGCTTCATGTAGATATTAAACAGCATGGGGGACAGTATGGAACCCTGTGGAACCCCACAAGTCAAAGGTTGTGGGGCAGAACAGGAGTCCCCCAATAACACCTTCTGGGTGCGTCCCTCCAGGAATGAGTGGAGCCACTGCAGAGCAGTGCCCCCAAGACCCATTTCCGCAAGGCGCCCCAGAAGGATACCGTGGTCGACGGTATCGAAGGCCGCTGAGAGGTCCAGGAGCACCAACAGGGACACACTCCACCTGTCTAGCTCCCGGCGCAGATCATCCACTAAGGCGACCAAGACCGTCTCAGTTCCATGTCCCGGTCTGAAACCAGACTGTGCCGGATCCAGATATCCGTGTCTCTCAAGAATACCTGGAGTTGTGAGGCCACCACGCTTTCCATGACTTTGCCCAAAAAGGGGAGATTGGAAACAGGCCGAAAGTTGTCAAATTTAGTGGGGTCCAAGTGATGGTTTCTTCAACAGCGGTTTTATAATAGCTTGTTTTAAGCTCGCTGGAATCTTGCCTTCCCGAAGGGAGGCGTTAACCACCACCGTTACCCACTCAGCCAATCCCCCTCTGGCCTCCTTCAGAAGCCAGGATGGGCAGGGGTCTAGGATGGACGTGGTGGGCCTCATTCCTCCAAGTATCTTGTCCACATCCTCGGGTTTCACAAACTGAAAAGAATCCATCAAAATAGGACAAGCAGGTGCTCTTGTTACATCCTCAGAGACTGCATTTAACGCGGCGTCCAGCCCAGAACGGATCAAGGCGACTTTGTCTGCAAAGAACCGAGCAAATGCTTCACAGCGCGTGACCGAATTGTCAGGGCTCCCGCCAGAGGGCGGGAGTTAAAAGACCTCTGACAATCCGAAACAACTCCGCCGGACGGTTCTTTGCAGACGCAATAGTGGCCGCAAAGAAAGTTTTCTTTGCGGTCTTTATTGCCGCGGCATATGCCCTTAAAAAGGACACAAACCGTGTTCGATTTGACTCGCTTGGATCCGAACGCCACACGCTCTCTAGTTCCCTCTTCCTTCGCTTCATCACTGCCAGCTCCTCAGTAAACCAAGGGGCTGGTTTAGCTCGGCTACTTGAGAGGGGACGCTCCGGAGCGATCATGTCAATTGCCCTGGTCATCTCCCCATTCCAGAGAGCGACCAAGGCCTCGACATGGTCACCTACCGAGGTGGCAGGAAAATCCCCAAGAGCCGTCAGGAATCCATTCGGATCCATCAGTCTCCTGGGGTGGACCATCTTAGTGGGTCCTCCACCCTTGCAGAGGTTAGGGGGCGCAGTGAGCCTAAATCTGATCAGGAAGTGGTCGGTCCATGGCAACGGAGAGACGGACAACTCCTCCACACCGCCACCCTGCTCCCATCCCTGGCAGAAAACCAAGTCCAATGTATGTCCAGCACAGTGGGTAGGGCCAGTTATTCGTTGGGACAGCCCCATGGTTGCCATGGCGGACATGAAGTCCTGAGCTGCTCCTGTGAGGGTCGCCTCGGCATGGATGTTGAAGTCCCCCAGCACAAGAAGCCGTTGAGACTCCAACGCCAGGCTCGAGACCACCCCCGCTAGCTCAGGTAGGGAGACTGTAGTGCAGCGAGGTGGACGGTACACTAACAGAATCCCTATTCTGTCCCGGTCACCCACCCTCAGGTGGACGCATTCAAAAGTTTGTGGTCTGCGGGATGGGACTCCTGGTCAGATGGATGGAATCTCTATAGACCACTGCGACCCCGCCTCCCCGTCCTCCGGACCTCGGTTGGTGCTGTACGGAGAAGCCTGGAGGACAAAGCTGGGTAAGATTTACGCCTCCAGCTTCATCCAACCAGGTCTCCGTAATGCACGCCAGATCTGCCCGCTCATCCAGGATTAAATCCTGGATCCAGGTCGTTTTTCCGTTGACAGACCTGGCGTTCAGCAGCACCACCTTCAATCCGGAGGGCCCGCTCACCTGGTTACACCAATATACCTTAGGAGACCGGTTTAGGGTTGTTAATGTTGGTAAGCGGTCCGAATTAAGCCGAATTTGAGGTCTCCTTTTACCGCATCTCCTCCTCCCCACCACGACCTCTATGGGGGCCCCTCGGCTAGTGGAACACCTCCCCTCCTCCCTGCCGCAGTCCAGCACCAAGGTCTTATTTCCAATATCGCTCGAAGTTTGGATTGTTGGCCTTTGCCATCTCCCTTGCCTCCCCTCCTCCCCCCTCCCCGCCCCATCCTTGTTCACAGGCTCCAGCCCTCCTCCTCCCCTGCCCCCTCCACTAGTCAGCAGTAACAGGGACAGAACAAATAGGGGGATGGGGAGCCACATGGATAACAATAGATTCAGGTGGGGCTAGGCGTTCAGCCACACCAGTTAAACAGTTCGTAAAGTGCAAGAGACTTAAATGCCACCCAGTCAGTAATATCACTCAATCAACAACATACTGCGTACCATTGGGCACATACATAAAGTGCAAGATCTAAGGTGCAGTACATAAAGTGCAAGATCTAAGTGCAATAGATACCCAAACTGGTTCTCTCAATTAACTAAAGTGCGGCATAGAGGAAAAGGATGGGGGCGTAGTGCTGGTATAATTTAGCAGCAGTGGCAGGCGCCTTAAAGTGCTATTGCGTTCTTGATCAAATTAGCAGCAAACGACAACCAAGGGGTAACTGAGGTAGTGATATGTAATCACACTCTCACAAGGATGATGGTAATAGTAATTGGATAAGGTTATTAAAATTGTTATGATTCAGATGTAATCCCTAGACGGTTGGTCTAAAAGCGGATGGGTCATCCGGCGATGTCAACACAGCGGCGGTCAGCACAGTTGAACTACGATGATATCTCTTCATACAAAGAGGCCAGCATAAGAGGTCTACACAAACGGTCTACACAATTTCTTTCTCCCCTTCCTTCCCTCCCACTTCCTTCCTTTCCTTTTTTTCTTTCTTTCTCCCCTTCCTTCCTTCTTTACCCTTCTTCCCTTCCCTTCTTTTCTTCTCTCTCCTTTCTTCCTTCTCTACCTCTTTCCTTCCTTCCTTCACTCTTTGCTTCCATGCTTCCTTCTCTCCTTCCTTCCTTCCTTCCTTCCTTTCTTCCTTCCTTCCTTCCTTCCTTCCTTCTCTCCTTCCCTCCTTCCTTCCTTCCTTCCTTCCTTCTCTCCTTCCTTCCTTCCTTCCTTCCTTTCCTTTTTTTCTTTCTTTCTCCCCTTCCTTCCTTCTTTACCCTTCTTCCCTTCCCTTCTTTTCTTCTCTCTCCTTTCTTCCTTCTCTACCTCTTTCCTTCCTTCATGTTAACCCCACAAACAAACATTGCATTTTTATCTATATAGGCTAGCCGTCCCCTGCCACGCGTTGCTGTGGCCCACATGGGGGTTCTGTGTGGGAGGTTTGGCCCAATTCTATCGTTGGTGGGTTCAGAATGTTCTTTGATTGTAGGTGAACTATAAATCCCAGCAACTACAACTCCCAAATGACAATATATATATATATATATTTTTAAGTGAAAGACACACATTGGGTTGTGAGGTGTCTTGTGTCCAAATTTGTTGTCAGCTGGTCCAGTGGTTTTTGAGTTGTGTTAATCCCACAAACGAACATTTCATTTTTATTTATATAGATAATGATATATCAGTTCCCCTTTCAGAATAAATAAGTATTTCATAATGTTTACGATGGAAGACTTTGTCACCCCTCCATGTTTGCTAGCTTTAGGGCCACAGGACCCATTAAAGGTGGAAAAACACATTTTTTTAACCTGAGAAAAACTCTTTCTATATATAGGGATTGTTGTGGCTGAGCTAGTTTCTGACGATGAGGATGATGGGATTCAGATTCCTGTTGGGTTTCAGTTTCCTGGCTCTTTGTCTGTGCCTCAAATCCCTGAGCCTGCTTCTGAGGCTCTCACAGACAGTGCAGTGTCAACACAGCTGTTTTCAATAGAAAGGAATTTTAACGAAGGAAATAGCGGCCAGGTGCCTTCCCACGATGATACCGAAAGTGCAGATAAGGATTTGACCCGAGAACCTCGCCTTGATCTCCGGGTCAGGCACAGTTCGCGACTGGCAAGCAGATGGGAGGCTAGCTCGGTGCGAGGTCATCGCAATGCTTTCATGATGCTGGGAGCCTAATGTTTTGATGTTAGAAAGGTATTTAGGCCTCCTGGAAACTCTGTGAAAGTGTCAGTTCAACGTAGCTTACTAGCCTGAAAGCTTCATGGAATAACCTTAGCCTGGAAAGCAGTACGCTTGGGATTTCTTGCATTGTGATTCTTGGGGCAAATGTTTCCTTGCTTGTACCTAGGACTCTGGTTTGAACTTTGCCTATAGCGGTGGTTCTCAACCTTCCTAATGCCATGACCCCTTAATCCAGTTCCTCATGTTGTGGTGACCCCCAACCATAAAATTATTTTCGTTGCTACTTCATAACTGTCATTTTGCTACTGTTATGAATCATAATGTAAATATCTGATATGCAGGATGTATTTTCATTCACTGGACCAAATTTGGAACGAATACCTAATACGCCCACATTTAAATACTGGTGGGGTTGAGGAGGATTTATTTTGTCATTTGAGAGTTGTAGTTGCTGGGATTTATAGTTCACCTACAATCAAAGAGCATTCTGAACTCCACCAACGATGGAACTGAACCAAACTTGGCACACAGTTCTCCCATGACCAACAGAAAATACTGGAAGGGTTTGGTGGGCAGTGTCCTTTGGTTTTGGAGTTGTAGTTCACCTACATCCAGAGGGCACTGTGGACTCAAACAATGATAGATCTGGATCAGAATTAGCACAAATACTCAATATACCCAAAAGTGGTGGAGTTTGGGGAAAATAGACATCGATATTTGAGAGTTGTGGTTGCTGGAATTTATAATTCACCTAAAATCAAAGAGCATTCTGAACTCCACCAACAATGGATTGGAGCAAACTTCGGCACACAGAAGTCCAATGACTAATTCCGTGGCCCAGCCGTGGGAGCCTTCTTGCGGGAAGGGCCGTCGGCTGGATCGCTGCCTTGCCGGAAGGTGGAACCGCGGCCCAGCCAAGGGAGCCTTCTCGCGAGGAGAGCCTTTGGCTGGATTGCTACCTTGCCGGAAGGCAGGACCGCAGCCCAGCCAAGGGAGCCTTCTCGTAAGAAGAGCCCTTGGCTGGATCGCTGCCTTGCCGGAAGGTGGAACCGCGGCCCAGCCAAGGGAGCCTTCTCGCGAGGAGAGCCTTTGGCTGGATTGCTACCTTGCCGGAAGGCAGGACCGCAGCCCAGCCAAGGGAGCCTTCTCGTAAGAAGAGCCCTTGGCTGGATCGCTGCCTTGCCGGAAGGTGGAACCGCGGCCCAGCCAAGGGAGCCTTCTCGCGAGGAGAGCCTTTGGCTGGATTGCTACCTTGCCGGAAGGCAGAACCGCAGCCCAGCCAAGGGAGCCTTCTCGTAAGAAGAGCCCTTGGCTGGATCGCTGCCTTGCCGGAAGGTGGAACCGCGGCCCAGCCAAGGGAGCCTTCTCGCGAGGAGGGCCCTCGGCTGGATTGCGGCCTTGCCGGAAGGCAGAACCGCAGCGCAGCCGAGGGAGCCTTCGCGTGAGGAGAGCCCTTGGCTGGATCGCTGCCTTGCCGGAAGGCAGAACCGCAGCGCAGCCGAGGGAGCCTTCGCGTGAGGAGAGCCCTCGGCTGGATTGCGGCCTTGCCGGAAGGCAGAACCGCAGCGCAGCCAAGGGAGCCTTCTCGCGAGGAGAGCCCTTGGCTGGATCGCTGCCTTGCCGGAAGGTGGAACCGCGGCCCAGCCAAGGGAGCCTTTTCGCGAGGAGGGCCCTCGGCTGGATTGCGGCCTTGTCGGAAGGCAGAACCGCAGCGCAGCCGAGGGAGCCTTCGCGCGAGGAGAGCCCTAGGCTGGGGGCGGGTCCTAAGGAGGCAGCCTTGCGACCCCACCGAGATGGCCAAGTGACCCCCCGGGGGGTTGCGACCCCCAGGTTGAGAACTGCTGGACTATAGGATTGTGTCTCCTGCTTTTTCCTGAAGAACTTTGGATCTGTATTCTGCATTTAACCTTAACCTCTGGGACTTTGCAATGCTTATTCTTTATTTTGACTTGGACTTTTTTCCTCAATAAACTGTAAAACTACAGCTCTTGTGTGGTGGTGTTTGGAAGCAAGGTGAAGCCTACTCTGAGTTGCATCAGGGATCCCTGTGGCCCCCAACATCCTTCTGTCCTATGAGTTGAGCATAGACTCACCTGGAGGACCTTCATGTCTCTTGGTAGACGTACACTTGACAACATTGACCATTGCATGCACTGGTTCATATTACCATTTGTTTTCTCCCCTTGTTCAGCTTGAGAAATGCGCTCAGGACCTTGGCAGTACCTCCAAGGCGGTGGGTTCCTCCATGGCGCAATTGCTGACCTGTGCGGCGCAAGGCAACGAACACTACACAGGTGTGTATTACACTTATGTCATAACATTTGAAAAACGTTCTGTTCAGGATTTGAAAGTGTTATTTCCTGTTTACTTGTGCGGTCCTGGCTTTGAAAGCTGTTGTTCTCCTCCAAACACTTCGTTTTTGTTGAATTGAGACTCGATGATGAGATATTCATTGGAAAACTACGGCAAAATGTGCTATAGCAGGATGTCTCATGAAAACTTGATGATCATGCCGTCTAGCCCTTCATCAACATCTGCATTAATGACTTAGATGAAGGGCCAGAAGGCAGGATCATCAAGTTTGCAGACGACACCAAATTGGGAGGGAGAGCCAAGACTCCAGGGGACAGGAGCAGGACTCAAAGGGATCTTCACAGATTAGAGAGATGATGGGCCAAAACTAACAAAATGAAGTTCAACAGGGACAAATGCAAGATACTCCACTTTGGCAGAAAAAATGAAATGCAAAGATACAGAATGGGGGACGATGAGGCCAGGCTCGAGAGCAGGACGTGGGGAAAAGATCTTGGAGTCCTCGTGGGGAGGAAGGGGAACATGAGCCAGGAATGTGATGTGGCAGCAAAAAAAGCCAATGGGATTTTGTCCTGCATCAAGAGGAGCCTAGTGTCTAGATCTAGGGAAGTCATGCTCCCCATGCTCTATTCCGCCTTGGTGAGACCACACCTGGAATATTGTGTCCCATTCTGGGCACCACAATTCCAGAGAGATATTGACTCTAAGCTGGAATGTGTCCAGAGGAGGGCGACTAAAATGATCAAGTGTTTGGAGAACAAGCCCTATGAGGAGCGGCTTAAGGAGCTGGGAAGAAGAGAAAGCTGAGAGGGAATGTGATAGCCATGTATAAATATGTGAGAGGAAGCCACAGGGAGGAGGAGGGAGCAAGCTTCCTTTCTGCTTCCCTGGAGACTAGGACGCAATGGAGCATTTTAATATTTTAATATTGTAATATTTGAATAATATTTGAATAATATAGCAAAGTAATAGTATTTATCATTCAGTTTAAATATGAAACTCCTTAATATTTAGATAACATTGCAAAATAATAATTTCTTTCCTATTTATTTTTAAAAATGGCATAAAATAAATAAACAAATAATATCCGGAGGGCGGGTGTCAGTAGAAATGGCTACGCGTGTCAGTACTGACACGCGTGTCATAGGTTCGCCATCTAGATCTAGGGAAGTCCTGCTCCCCATGCTCTATTTTGCTTTGGTCAGACCACACCTGGAATATTGTGTCCAATTCTGGGCACCACAACTCAAGAGAGAGATTGACAAGCTGGAATGTGTCCAGAGGAGGGCGACTAAAATGATCAAGGGTCTGGAGAACAAGCCCTATGAGGAGCGGCTTAAGGAGCTGGGCATGTTTAGCCTGAAGAAGAGAAGGCTGAGAGGAGATATGATAGCCATGTATAACTATGTGAGGAAGCCACAGGCAGAAGGGAGCAGATCAAGGGTCTGGAGAACAAGCTCTATGAGGAGCGGCTGAAGGAGCTGGGCATGTTTAACCTGAAGAAGAGAAGGCTGAGAGGGGATATGATGATAGCCATGTATAAATATGTGAGAGGAAGCCACAGGGAGGAAGGAGCAAGCTTCCTTTCTGCTTCCCTGGAGACTAGGACGCAATGTAGCAATGGCTTCAAACTACAAGAGAGGAGATTCCACCTGAACATGAGGAAGAACTTCCTGACTGTGAGAGCCGTTCAGCAGTGGAACTCTCTGCCCCGGAGTGTGGTGGAGGCTCCTTCTTTGGAAGCTTTTAAGCAGAGGCTGGATGGCCATCTGTCAGGGGTGCTTTGAATGCAATATTCCTGCTTCTTGGCAGAATGGGGTTGGACTGGATGATGGCCCAGGAGGTCTCTTCCAACTCTAGGATTCTATGAAATGTTATTGATTACCCGGGAACAAAATAGATTGCAGTTAGATCTTTAAATCCTCATATCGTGTCAGCTTTTCCCATTGTTTCTCTTCAATCCTTATTATTATTATTAGGGGTGGCAGCACGTGAGACAGCGCAGGCGCTGAAGAGCCTGGCGCAGGCGGCACGGGGGGTGTCAGCCTCCACGGGGGACCCCCCTGCGGCGCACGCCATGCTGGACTCGGCCCGGGACGTGATGGAGGGCTCGGCTGTCCTCATCCAGGAGGCCAAGCAGGCCCTGGGCGCCCCCGGAGACGCAGACAGGCAGCAGAGGCTGGCACAGGTCAGCAAGTGGGGGGGGGGGGGGGGGGGGGGGGGGGGGGGGGGCATCTGCCTGTCCATCCACTTCGGTCAGAGTCCATGTTGAAGAACACAAGGCTCTTTTCAGGGAGAAACATCTCTCAGTCTATGTCTCTCTCTCTCCACCTATCTCCACTCCATAGCTCTCTGTATTGCAATTTTGAACTATCTCCAATTAACATCTATCTATCTCTCATCCATCCATCCATCGATCAATCTCCAATTAACATCCATCTATAATCTATCTGTCTATCTATATCTATCTATCTATCTATCTATCTATCTAGCTATCTATCTGTGTTTCGATCTCCAATTAAAATTCATCTATCTATGTATTGATCTCCAATTAACATCTATCTGTCTGTCTGTCTGTCTGTGTATCAATCTCCAATTAACATCCATCTATCTCTCATCCATCCATCGATCGATCGATCTCCAATTAACATCCATCTATAATCTATCTGTCTATCTATATCTATCTATCTATCTATAGTTATTTCCAATTAACATCCATCTATCTATCTATCTATCTATCTATCTGTGTATATATATCTCCAATTAACATCTATCTATCTATCTATCTATCTATCTATCTATTTGTCTATCTATCTATCTATCTATCTATCTTTATCTCCAATTAACATCCATCTATCATCTATCTATCTAGCTGTGCCTCAATCTCCAATTAACATCTATCTATGTATTTATCTATCTATGTATTGATCTCCAATTAAAATTCATCTATCTATATCTATGTATTGATCTCCAATTAACATCCATCTATCTATCTATCTATCTATCTATCTATCTATCTATCTATCAATCAATCAATCAATCTATCAATCTCCAATTAACATCCATCTATCATCTATCTATCTATCTGTCTGTTCTCCAGGTTGACTTTGTCCGGCTTCTTCTCTAAGGAATTGAGATCCATGGGCACTTAGTCACAGAGCCATATTTTCCCTTGGAGCATGCAGGTCTTTCTGTGGCTTCTCACCTGCCTCTGTATCCTTACAGGTAGCCAAAGCCGTCTCCCATTCGCTGAACAACTGCGTGAACTGCCTACCCGGCCAGAAGGACGTCGACGTGGCCTTGAAGAGCATCGGTGAGTCCAGCAAGAAGCTGCTGGTGGAATCGGTAAGCGGTTTGAGCACCCATGATCACCATGGGAAGGAAGGTTTTTTGTTGGAACTCAAACACATCACGCACAAGGCTATAGTCCTCATCAATCCTGGTTGCTGGGCCGGGGTCTGTTGGCATTGGGGATGAGGGTTTGCTTGGGCCTGAGCCAAGATCAGAAGAGAGGCCTGGGCTGTCTCAGGAAGATCTCTAGGCTCCCTAAGTCCTAAGTCTCCAGCTCCTTCTCAAGAAGGCCACATTCCTGAGAGGGGCCTCTTACCGCTTTTCTCAGAGCAACTGTCTGAAAATGGTGCTGAGATTGATTTGCCAGGCGCAGGAATTAATGAGGGAAAGGATAGTGAAACCTTGAACAGAAAGCAAAGTTTTAGTAAACAGAGGCAGAGCTCTAGGCTCCCTAAGTCCTCCAGGATGACTGTCTCCAGCTTCTTCTCAGGAAGGCCACATTCCAGAGAGGGGCCTCTCACCTCTTTTCTCAGAGCAATTTCTCAGGCCAACGGTTCTGGCCCAACTTACCTGTCAGAACACATCTCCTATGAACCAGCTAGGACGTTAAGATCATCTGGGGAGGCCTTGCTCTCGACTCCGTCTGTGTCACAAATACATTTGGCAGGGATCATAGAATCATAGAATCATAGAATCAAAGAGTTGGAAGAGACCTCCTGGGCCATCCAGTCCAACCCCCTGCCAAGAAGCAGGAATATTGCATTCAAATCACCCCTGACAGATGGCCATCCAGCCTCTGCTTAAAAGCTTCCAAAGAAGGAGCCTCCACCACACTCCGGGGCAGAGAGTTCCACTGCTGAACGGCTCTCACAGTCAGGAAGTTCTTCCTAATGTTCAGATGGAATCTCCTCTCTTGTAGTTTGAAGCCATTGTTCCATTGCGTCCTAGTCTCCAAGGAAGCAGAAAACAAGCTTGCTCCCTCCTCCCTGTGGCTTCCTCTCACATATTTATACATGGCTATCATATCTCCTCTCAGCCTTCTCTTCTTCAGGCTAAACATGCCCAGTTCCCTGAGAGACAGGGCCTGAGAGACAGGGCCTGAGAGACAGGGCCTTCTCAGTAGTGGCCCCTCGGCTATGGAACGCCCTTCCTGTTGGGGTTCAGCCTGTGTGTGAACCTGATCCTGAACCTGATTCTCTGATTGTATTCCCTGATGCCAATGTAGATGTCAATGTGAATTCTGAGGCCAATTTAGATGATGATGGTTTGAGTAGTGAAAATCCTACAGCCTTGGAAAGTGAAAGTCAAAATTCCCATGAGAACATGCATTCCGAGCCGAGCGGAGAAGTTTCACTCTGTGAAGGAGACCGTTTTAATGCCACCGAATGCCACCAATTTGTGAAGGAGTGTGGTTGAACTTACTGCCACCTAATCTGTGAGGGAAGCCGGGCAACGATCAATATCAGTTTAAGAGCTATTTTATAAAGGGACTATTAATTACAGAAGGCTTTATTTATTTGATAGCGTAGCATTGACTGTCCCTGGCTTGACTTTACTTATGCAGGCTGTTCAACTTAGGAGAAACTGTATCAGGCAAGGCTTGAGGAAAACAGTAACAAGTTTATTTTAACAGGAGTATAACATGTTTAACTGTTTCTTCACAAGAGGCACAAATCTTGATTGGTTACATTAGTAATGTTTCATGAGTAATCTCAGGCACAGTCTTCAAGAAGTTTCTATAAGCAGATGTAACCCTTCTGGACAGCTGTCCTAATATAACAAATAAACTAAAAGGCTTATTTAACAGAATTCCCTATAGCCCACAGGCTACAGACACATTCCCTGAATCTCCACCCAGAGACTCAGTCTACCCAGTAGCTCACCGGCTTACTGACTGACTCTTTTTAAAAAGCTGCGTAGTGAAGAGGCAGTTGGCTCCGCCCCTGTTGCTATGGCAACTCAGCTAATGCCAAGCCACCATCTCCAACAAAACATGATCCTCCATACTTACCATCCATAAACTACTGTTTAAATTACACATAACCAAAGGAACAAAATTTACACATCGTCACACACTCCCTTTTCCTCCCAGTCTTAGTTCTCCAGAGAATCTGACACCTGGTCTGCCTAATGAGGATAGGCGGGGGCAGATTTGGCAGAGCCGGGGGGAAGCACAAAGTTTACGTAGGTCAGCCAGATTGAGAGAAATGCAAACAAAAATGTTAGGCATGTCTCGTAATAGATTTCTCAGCCTTAAGTATGCCTGGCCTGAATGCAGCTTCAGACCAGGCATCGTTCCAGATTCATGTGCAAGCTTTTGCAGGTCTCCTGATTCAAGTGGCCTTGTTCCTCGGAGGTTTTCCAGTTGTTCCAAGTACGGTTAGTGGATTGCTAACAGGTTCCAGGATTCAGTAGTTTTGCTGTGGGTTTTATGATCTTGTTTATGGACATTTCTTGTTGCTGACTTTTTACTGTGACTATTTACCTTTGCATTTTTCCTCTATTTTGTATTCATCTTTCATTAATAAATAAGGATTGTTACAGTTATGAAGTAGCAACGAAAGTAATGTTATGGTTGGGGGTTTTCCTCACTTTCTGGGAGTTGCTGAAGCTGCTCTGCTCTACTGCTATGCTCAGGAAGCTTCTGGCCTGCTAAACTGCTACTGCTGATTTACATCTTAAATCCCTTCTTGATATTCTTATCCAGGAGTTTTGACGGGGCCTTGCCGTGTGTCCCTTCTTTCCTCTCTTTCTTGGCAGCTCCCTCCAAGCTCCAAGTCTTTCCAAGAGGCGCAGAGCGAGCTCAACCAGGCGGCGGCCGACCTGAACCAGTCGGCGGGAGAGGTGGTGCACGCCACGCGGGGCCAGAGTGGGGAGCTGGCCGCCGCCTCCGGGAAGTTCAGCGAAGACTTTGACGAGTTCCTGGGCGCCGGGATCGAGATGGCCGGGCAGGCCCAGGTGGGAACCGGAGACATGATAGCCATGAATAAATATGAGAAGGGAATATGTCATAGGGAGGGTGACTAAATGATCAAGGGTCTGGAGAACAAGCCCTATGAGGAGCGGCTTCAAGAGCTGGGCATGTTTAGCCTGAAGAAGAGAAGGCTGAGAGGAGATATGATAGCCATGTATAAATATGAGAAGGGAATATGTCATAGGGAGGGTGACTACATTTTCAAGGGTCTGGAGAACAAGCCCTATGAGGAGCGGCTTAAAGAGCTGCTGGGCATGTTTACCCTGAAGAAGAGAAGGCTGAGAGGAGACATGATAGCCATGAATAAATATGGGAAGGGAATATGTCATAGGGAGGGTGACTAAATGATCAAGGGTCTGGAGAACAAGCCCTATGAGGAGCGGCTGAAAGAGCTGTTGGGCATGTTTAGCCTGAAGAGGAGAAGGTTAAGAGGAGACATGATAGAGATGAATAAATATGAGTTACAAAACTATACTTGCGATATGAAATACTTACTCAAGTCTCCTGCGCCATCGAAATTAATGTGCATCTCCATTTTCAAGAGCGTTTTGATGGCGCATGGGATCACACGGCCAATCCCGCCTCTGCTTTGTGCTTTGTAGACGAAGGAGGACCAGATCCAGGTGATTGGGAACCTCAAGAACATCTCCATGGCTTCCTCCAAGCTGCTCTTAGCCGCCAAGTCGCTCTCGGTGGACCCCGGCGCCCCCAACGCCAAGAACCTTCTTGCAGCCGCAGCCAGGTGAGTTGGGTTGTTTACTTGTTTGTTTGTTTGTTTGTTCGCTTTGGCTTTTCCTCCCACGTTTTTGGGTTGGAGATGGCTCCGGTATCAACCAAGGCATCAAATTGAAACTTGTATGCCAGCTGCACCCTTGCCTTGGGAAGTCTGACTTGGCCACGGTAGTCCACGCTCTGGTTACATCCCGTATAGACTACTGCAACGTGCTCTATGTGTGGCTGCCTTTGAAGACTGTTTGGAAGCTTCAAATGGTCCAATGAGCCAGGTTATTAACAGGAGCAGTGCTCAGGGACCGTACAACCCCTTTGTTGCGCCAACTCCATTGGCTGCCAATTTGCTACTGGGCACAATTCAAAGTGCGGGCTTTAAAGGTTAAAGTTTCCAGCCCAGCTTACCTATCTAATATCTATATCATAGGAAACCTGCTACAAAACAGGAGCTTTTTGTTGAGTTCCAGGGCCAGAGAAGCAGATGGCGGAAACAGAAGAACGGCCTGCCTCAGGGGAGCGTGCTTGCTCCATCCATGTTCAACATCTACACAAATGACCAGCCACTGCCAGAAGGGACAGCGAGCTTCATCTATGCTGATGATCGTGCCATCACCGCTCAAGAAGGGAGCTTTGAGATGGTAGAACAGAAGCTCTCCGAAGCCCTAGGTGCTCTTACTGCCTATTACAGGGAAAACCAGCTGATCCCTAACCCATCTAAAACACAGACATGTGCCTTTCATCTCAAGAACAGACAAGCATCCCGAGCTCTGAGGATTCTTACCTGGGAAGGAAGGGATCCCACGGGAGCATTGCAGCGTACCCAAATACCTGGGAGGAGTCACTCTGGACCGTGCTCTGACCTACAAGAAGCACTGCCTGAACATCAAGCAAAACGTGGGTGCTAGAAACAATATCATACGAAAGCTGACTGGCACAACCTGGGGATCACAACCAGACACAGTGAAGACATCTGCCCTTGCGCTATGCTGCTCTGCTGCTGAGTATGCATGCCCAGTGTGGAACACATCTCACCACGCTAAAACACTGGATGTGGCTCTGAATGAGACATGCCACATTATCACGGGGTGTCTGCGCCCTACACCACTGGAGAAATTACACTGCTTAGCCGGTATTGCTCCACCTGACATCTGCCGGGAAGGAGCAACCAATAGTGAAAGGACCAAGGCAGAGACATCTCCAGCTCATCCCTGTTTGGGTATCAGCCAGCACGTCAACAACCTAAATCTAGACATAGTTTTCTAAGATCTACAGAGACACTCGCTGGAACACCTCAGCAAGCGAGAGTCCAAAAGTGGCAGGCTCAAACCCAGCACCTCAATCAATGGCTGATACCCAATGAGAAACTCCCTCCTGGGCACACAGAAAACTGGGTGACTTGGAAGGTGCTGAACAGACTGCGCTCTGGCACCACGAGATGCAGAGCCAACCTTCAGAAATGGGGCCACAATGTGGAATCCTCAGCATGTGAGTGCGGAGAGGAGCAAACCACTGACCACCTGCTGCAATGCACCCTGAGCCCTGCCACATGCACAATGGAGGACCTCCTTGCGGCAACACCAGAGGCACTCCAAGGGGCCAGATACTGGTCAAAGGACATTTAACCAAATACCAAACTCACAAGTTGTGTATTTTTCTGTCTGTTTGCTTTGTTTCTGTTAGAAATGTAATATATAATGGACTGGTTGCTCTGACACGACAAATAAATAAATAAAAATCTATGATATTGTTTCTAGCGCCCACTTTTTGCTTGATGTTCAGGCAGTGCTTCTTGTAGGTCAGAGCACGGTCCAGAGTGACTCCCAGGTATTTGGGTGCGCACAAGGGCGGATGTCTTCACTGTGTCTGGTTGTGATCCCCAGGTTGTGCCAGTTAGCTTTCGTATGATATTGTATTTAGAAGTAGAGATTTGAATAGAAGAGTTGTAGACTCATGCGGATTTTTTGCAGTTTGGGGCTTCTTTGGTGCAAAATCCACGCTGTGGTTTTGTGCACGAAAAAGCCTTTTTCAATATAGAAAATACTATGCAGAAATATTATTTTCTTTTAGGGCCGTGACGGAGAGCATCAATCAGCTCATCACTTTGTGTACACAGCAAGCCCCGGGACAAAAGGAGTGCGACAATGCTCTCAGAGAGCTGGAGGTATTATTATTATTGTATTGTCGAAGGCTTTCATGGTCGGAATCACTGGGTTGTTGTAGGTATTTTCAGGCTATATGGCCATGTTCTAGAGGCATTCTCTCCTGACGTTTCACCTACATTTATGGCAAGCATCCTCAGAGGTAGTGAGGTCTGTTGGAACTAGGAAAAAGGGTTTATATATCTGTGGAATGACCAGGGTGGGACAAAGGACTCTTGTTTGCTGGAGCTAGGTGGGAATGTTTCAACTGACCACCTTGATTAGTGGGCTGTTGTAGGTTCTTTCGGGCTATATGGCCATGTTCTAGAGGCATTCTCTCCTGACGTTTTGCCTGCATCTGTGGCAAGCATCCTCAGAGGTAGTGAGGTCTTTTGGAACTAGGAAAATGGGTTTATATATCTGTGGAATGACCGGGGTGGGACAAAGGACTCTTGTCTGCTGGAGCTAGGTGTGAATGTTTCAACTGACCACCTTGATTAGCATTGGATGGCCTGGCAGTGCCTCTAGCATTCTCTCCTGACGTTTCGCCTGCATCTATGGCAAGCATCCTCAGAGGTAGTGAGGTCTGTTGGAACTAGGAAAGAGGGTTTATATATCTGTGGAATGACCAGGGTGGGACAAAGGACTCTTGTCTGCTGGAGCTAGGTGTGAATGTTTCAATTGACCACCTTCAATCAAGGTGGTCAGTTGAAACATTCACCCCTAGCTCCAGCAGACAAGAGTCCTTTGTCCCACCCTGGTCATTCCACAGATATATAAACCCTTTTTCCTATTATTATTATTATAGATCTGTGGACATCTAATCACCTCTCAACAAAAGATTGCTCCAGGCACTGCCAGGCAATCAAATGCTAATCAAGGTGGTCAGTTGAAACATTCACACCTAGCTCCAGCAGACAAGAGTCCTTTGTCCCACCCTGGTCATTCCACAGATATATAAACCCTTTTTCCTAGTTCCAACAGACCTCACTACCTCTGAGGATGCTTGCCATAGATGCAGGCGAAACCTCAGGAGAGAATGCCTCTAGAACATGGCCATATAGCCCGAAAAACCTACAACAACCCATTATTATTATTATTATTATTATTATATTTATTATATTATATTTATTATATTATATTATTATATTTACTACCATACTCTGATTTTCTCCCAGGACGGATGCAAAGCAACTCACAATCTTAAAAATGATACAATTTAAAGAGCAATAAAATATATTTCTAAAAAATAGAATTAAAAATTACAGTCATTTAAGCTATTAAAAAACAATTCTTATTTTGGTAAGTCCTTCAGGGCAACTTTATAGTAGCTTCCATAGATTCTAATGGAGGACCGACCTATTTTGTCAGATATGGGCAGCAAAATCACACACGTTACGTATAGGTCGCATCGTATTGTTAATGATAATCACATTATTATTATTATTATTATTATTATTATTATTATTATTTTGAAAAAAATCTTGTGGACACCAAGTTAAACATGAGCCAGGAATGTGATGTGGTGGCAAAAAAAGCCAATGGGATTTTGTCCTGCATCAAGAGGAGCATAGAGTCTAGATCTAGGGAAGTCCTGCTACCCGTGCTCTATTCCGCTTTGGTTAGACCACTTTACCTGGAATATTGTGTCCAATTCTGGGCACCACAATTCAAGAGAGATATTGACAAGCTGGAATGTGTCCAGAGGAGGGCGACTAAATGATCAAGGGTCTGGAGAACAAGCCCTATGAGGAGCGGCTTAAGGAGCTGGGCATGTTTAGCCTGAAGAAGAGAAGGCTGAGAGGAGATATGAGAGCCATGAATAAATATGAGAAGGGAATATGTCATAGGGAGGGTGACTAAATGATCAAGGTCTGGAGAACAAGCCCTATGAGGAGCGGCTTAAGGAGCTGGGCATGTTTAGCCTGAAGAAGAGAAGGCTGAGAGGAGATATGATGATAGCCATGTATAAATATGTGAGAGGAAGCCACAGGGAGGAGGAGGGAGCAAGCTTCCTTTCTGCTTCCCTGGAGACTAGGACGCAATGGAACAATGGCTTCAAACTACAAGAGAGGAGATTCCATCTGAACATGAGGAAGAACTTCCTGACTGTGAGAGCCGTTCAGCAGTGGAACTCTCTGCCCCGGAGCGTGGTGGAGGCTCCTTCTTTGGAAGCTTTTAAACAGAGGCTGGATGGCCATCTGTCAGGGGTGATTTGAATGCAATATTCCTGCTTCTTGGCAGGATGGGGTTGGACTGGATGATGGCCCAGGAGGTCTCTTCCAACTCTTGGATTCTATGATTGTATTCCTTCCTTCATTCGTTTGTTCATTCCTTCTTCTCTTCCTTCCTTCCTTTCTTCGTTCGTTAGTTCGTTCTTTCCTTCCTTCATTTGTTCCTTCCTTCTTTCATTCTTTTATTCCTTCCTTCCTTTCCTCATTCGTTAGTTCGTTCTTTCCTTCCTTCATTTGTTCCTTCCTTCCTTCATTCTTTTATTCCTTCCTTCCTTTCCTCATTCGTTAGTTCGTTCTTTCCTTCCTTCATTTGTTCCTTCCTTCTTTCATTCTTTTATTCCTTCCTTCCTTTCCTCATTCGTTAGTTCGTTCTTTCCTTCCTTCATTTGTTCCTTCCTTCCTTCATTCTTTTATTCCTTCCTTCCTTTCCTCATTCGTTAGTTCGTTCTTTCCTTCCTTCATTTGTTCCTTCCTTCCTTCTGTCCTTCCTTCCTTTCTTCCTTTGTTAGTTCGTTCTTTCCTTCCTTCATTTGTTCCTTCCTTCCTTTATTCTTTTATTCCTTCCTTCCTTCCTTCTGTCTTTCTTTCCTTCACTTCCTTCCTTCCTTCCTTTCCTTCATTCGTTAGTTCGTTCTTTCCTTCCTTCATTTTTTTTGTTCTTCCTTCTTTCCTTCCTTCCTTCCTTCCTTCCTTCTTTCCTTCATTCATTTGTTTGTTCATTCTTTCTTCCCTTCCTTCTTTCCTTCCTTCTTTCATTTGTTTGTTTATTCCTTCTTCAGTTTGTTTGTTTGTTTGTTCCTTCCTTTCTTTCCTTCCTTCTTTCCACTCTTCTTCCATCTTTTCTGCCTTATTCCCTTCCTTCCTTCCCTTCCTTCCTTCCTTCCTTCCTTCTTCCTTCCTTCTCTTCCTTCTTCCTTTCCTTCTCTCTCTCTGTGGTGAAGGCTCCTTCTTTGGAGGCTTTTAAACAGAGGCTGGATGGCCATCTGTTGGGGGTGCTTTGAACACAATTGTTCTGCCTCTTGGCAGGGGGTTGGACTAGATGGCTCATGAGGTCTCTTCCAACTCTATGACTGTGAGAGCCGTTCAGCAGTGGAACTCTCTGCCCCGGAGTGTGGTGGAGGCTCCTTCTTTGGAAGCTTTGAAACAGAGGCTGGATGGCCATCTGTCAGGGGTGATTTGAATGCAATATTCCTGCTTCTTGGCAGAATGGGGTTGGACTGGATGATGGCCCAGGAGGTCTCTTCCAACTCTTTGTTTCCATGATGAGCTGTTCAGCAGTGGAACTCTCTGCCTCGGAGTGTGGTGGAGGCTCCTTCTTTGGAAGTTTTTAAGCAGAGGCTGGGTGGCCATCTGTCAGGGGTGATTTGAATGCAATATTCCTGCTTCTTGGCAGAATGGGGTTGGACTGGATGATGGCCCAGGAGGTCTCTTCCAACTCTAGGATTCTATTATTATTATTATTATTATTATTATTATTATTATTATTATTTATTAGACAGTGAAAGAGATGCTGGAAAACCCCAATGAACCTGTGAGCGACCTCTCCTATTTCGACTGCATCGAAGGCGTCATGGAAAACTCCAAGGTACTCGTTTCCTTTCTGGTTTTCCATGCTCAATGCGCAGTCTCATGGATGTTCTAAACGTTGTACTTTTTTTTCCATTCTGCGCAAAAAAAACACTGAATTCTGCACAAAATGTCCTTGTTTATTCCCACAACGAAACGCCCGGAATAGAAAATGCAATCCTTGCTAAACAACCCTCTTGTAACTCCACCCAGTAAGGAATAAAATACACCATAAATATAAATAATACTAGCTGTCCCCTGCCACGCCTTGCTGTGGCCCTCAGAATAGAGAGGAATTCCAGTTGAAGCGATAGAGAGAAGGGACAGATGGAAGGGACATTGATGGATGGAACAGAAATTAGATGGAGAGAACATAGATAGGTTGGTAGGAAGTAGGTAGATAGATATGTAGATGGAGTGATTGATGGATTGAAGGATGGATGGACATACATACAGACAAAGAAGGTTGGACTGGATGGCCTCTGGGACTCCCTTCCAACTGGTTGACCATCTGTCAAGAGGGCTTAGATGGTGTCTTCCTTTACTGTAAAATGAGGTTGGACTGGATGGCCTTTGGGGCCCCTTCCTATCCCTCCAAGGGTTTCCCACGCCCGTCCTTCCGTGCATGGCATCCAAGGGCCCCTTCCTTCCCCGGCGGCGATTGGAATTGGATGGCCATCTGTTGGGAGGATTTGAATGGCGTCTTCCTGCCTGACATTTTTATTTATTTATTTACTTACTTATATACCGCTGTTCTCAGCCCGAAGGCAACTCACAGCGGTTCACAACAATAAGAACAGCAAAAATTCAATGCTACAGTGTAAAAACAGTTAACAACCTAACATATTACACAATTAATAAACAATTACGACATGAATAGGATTGGGGTTTCTGTATTCTGAGCCTGGGTTATCAATGGATCTGCTCTGAGCTTGATTGCTTTTGCTTCCGCAGAGTTTCCTTTCTCCCGAATCCATCCCATCGGCGGAAGATTAGTCGGGTCTGGATAGATGAATTTTGGAGAGGCAGAGCAGCCTAGGCAGCATGGAAAGGGTAGCGGCAGAGAGGCAGGCCTGCGGGGATGAGGGCTTTTCCTCCATCTCCTGAACAGAGAGAGCCTTCTCCTCCCGTGGGAGCCTGCTGTGCACGTGCACTCCTTCCCTCCCCCCTCCCTCCCTGAGGCTTACTTTCTGAGGGGGGAGGGAGGGGGAAGTGTTTTTTGGGGGTTTTGTGAGTGGAGGACATAGCTTGCTTGAGATAGTGTCTAGTGTCCAAATTTGGTGTCAATTCCCCCAGTGGTTTTTGAGTTCTGATGGTATCACAAACGAACATTACATTTTTATTTATATAGATGTACGGGTAATTATTATTATCATTTGCGCGAATTAATTTTCTGCCTCCTTTCCGCAGGTTCTTGGGGAAGCCATGGCGGGGATTTCACAGAACGCCAAAACGGGCGACCTCCCCTCCTTCGGTGAATGCGTTGGTGTGGCTTCCAAGGCCCTTTGCGGACTCACCGAAGCCGCAGCACAGGTGAGTCCCAGGTTTTTCCGTTAGGCTTATTTAGATCCGCCGCCTCCTCTTCTTCCTTCTTATCCTCCTCCTTCTCCTTGTTTTCTTGTTTCTCTTCTTCCTTTTCTTCATCTTCTTCCTGTTCCTGTTCTTCTTCTGTTGGGGTTCAGCCTGGGTGTGAACTTGAACCTGATTCTCTGACTGTATTTCCTGATGCCCATGTGAGTTCTGAGGCCAATTTAGATGATGATGGGTTGAGTATTGAAAATCCTACAGCCTTGGAAAGCGAAAGTCAAGATTCCCATGAGAACATACATTCTTCACAATCATACTTCACAATCAGCATGTGCGGGCTGTGTTACAGCGGTTCCGAGACCGTGGATTATATGCTAATCTTGTTGGGTCTGGAGACAGTTTATATGTTGTGTTTCCTCATTAGCTTCCCTATGTGGTTGGTTAGTGGTTCCCTTGATGTCTGGCAAGGACACTTTCCCTCTGGGTGGATCTTGGTCTTCTCGGTGGTCTTGCAGCTCTTCTGAGGTCTGAGGTGGAGTCTCCCTTGGCCTGGAGAGCCCAGTTGAGGGGGTTCCGTTCACCTTGGAGGAGGTGGGCTGCGCAGATTCTTTTGGCACGGTCTGCCAAGGCTTTAATGGCGCTCCCTTTTTGACTTGGGTGATGGTTGGACACCTCAACCGGGCTCTTTTTTGACTTGGGTGATGGTTGGACACCTCAACCGGGCTCTTTTTTGACTTGGGTGATGGTTGGACACCTCAACCGGGCTCTTATTTGACTTGGGTAATGGTTGGCCACCTCAACCGGGCTCTTTTTTGACTTGGGTGATGGTTGGACACCTCAACCGGGCTCTTTTTTGACTTGGGTGATGGTTGGACACCTCAACCGGGCTCTTTTTTGACTTGGGTGATGGTTGGACACCTGAACTGGGCTCTTTTTTGACTTGGGTGATGGTTGGACACCTCAACTGGGCTCTCTTTCCTTCTCTTGCTCTCCTTTTCCTATCTCTTCTTTCTCTTCATCTTTGTTGCCTTTCTCTTCTTCATCTTCTTCTCCTTGTCCTGCATCTTCATCATTACCTTCCTCTTCTACTTATTGTTCCTTTTCTTTATCCTCCTTTAACGGAAGGGGAAATGCTGGAGGAAAAGGGGGGCTTTGGATAAGAGCATCAGATAAGACGGAAGGTCGGATAAGCGAGACTCTACTGTAATAGAAACTTTTTTTGTATTAGAGAATAATGGAAGAAGACATTAAGTGGCTGTGCCCTTCTCCATATCTTTGTTATACAAATTATATGGTAAACAATAACAATCATAATTGTTCCCTGTGTAGGCGGCGTTCCTGGTGGGGGTCTCGGACCCCAACAGCCAGGCAGGCCAGCAAGGCCTGGTGGACCCCATCCAGTTTGCCAGGGCCAACCAAGCCATCCAAATGGCCTGCCAGAACCTGGTCGACCCGGCCAGCAGCCCCTCCCAGGTAAGCTCACCTTTGTTTATTTGATCTATAAATCCCTAAACGACTCCGGCCCAGTTTACCTGTCCAAACGGATTCTCCCCTATGAACCATCAAGGTTGTTAAGATCTTCTGGAGGGGCCCTGCTCTTGGTCCCACCTCCTTCGCAATCGCGATTGGTTGGAACGACGCACAGGGCCTTCTCAGTGGTGGCCCCTTGGCTCTGGAACTCCCTCCCAATGGAGATTAGATCTGCCCCTTCCCTCCTGACTTTTCATAGACCAAAAACCTGGCTTTGGAATACTGCATTTGCAGAATGATGACTGAGTCAATAACTGCTGACCACACGGATAGATGGCGAGGAATTTATGATTTATTCTGACGAACTGACCTTTTGTAAGTTGTATAATTGTATTTTAATGTATTTTTGTACTTGTGCAGAAGTCATTGATACTATGTATATGTTTAACTGTTAGAGTATATGTTTGTGTTTTGTAACAGTAGCTAAAACTAGAGTTATCTGGTTTGAATCCACAGTGAGCGTTGCCAAGGAAACCAGGCAGGCTAGCGCAGGAGAGTGAGAAGTGGGCGGAGCCAAGGAGGAGAAGTTATGTGCGTCTTTGGAAAGGGGGCAGTCGGAGTCAGTGTGTGAGAGTGGAGGCTTGAAAAGCCTGGGAGAGAGGTGTGTGTGAATAGCTGGAGGTTTTTCAGTCTAAGAGGGCTGAAGGGAGAAACCTGACCAGTTTCTTTAGTTAAAGTAGACTAAAGGAAGCTTGTTAAGATCCCTAGTCGAGGAAGGGCTAGAGATCAGGGATTTGATCAAGGAAAGATCAAATTGGAAGGCTATTCATATTAGGAAACATTGTTCACCAAAGTGCTTCACCTCAGTAAAAGTTAATCACGAGCTGTGTCATCTAGAAGAGTGGACTGTATTACAAACCAAGTGTTATTCAAAGTTCTATAAGTTATTTAACAGCCTACAACCATACGCTTTGTACACAATAAACTTGTTATCTTTTGTTGAAGACCGTCTCATCTCAATCTGCGTCTGTAGAGCCAGATCTCATCGGTGGTACCTCAAATACCTCACGTTGGTGGCAGTTACCTTAATTTACAAGTAATAATCGGCCTCCTCCATAATATACTCTTCTACCCAATTGAGGCCTGAGATTAGTTCCCTCCATAATCATCCACACCTGTACATTTGGTGCGTGCGTCCTGTACAATTGGTGGCAGCGGTGGGATCTTTAAAGATAAAATCCCTATACCCTGTCTATTAGGCTTGGGCGATCCAGTTCGTTAATTTCGTTATTCGTTATTGATTCGTATTTAAATTAGCTTACGATCCAATATCGAGCCATGCAGGAATAGTGTGAGGAGTAATTAAGAATCGAAACGATTTTTTCCAGTTTTCGTAATTATTTCGTAATTATTTCTGTATGTCTGGTGCATTGTATTGTATATTATATTATATTATATTATTATATTCTATATTATATTACTATATTATTATTATATTATATTATAATTGTACATTATAATATAATATAATAATATATAATATAATATATAATATCCAGGTCCTGAACCGGTGCTTGGCCGCTGTGATGGTCTGGATGAGGGCGAACAAATTGAAATTGAATCCAGACAAGACAGAGGTCCTCCTGGTCAGTCGCAAGGCCGAACAGGGCATAGGGTTACAGCCTGTGTTGGATGGGGCCGCACTCCCCCTGAAGACGCAGGTTCGCAGCTTGGGTGTGATCTTGGACTCATCGCTGAGCCTGGAACCCCAGGTTTCGGCGGTGACCAGGGGAGCATTTGCACAGCTAAAACTTGTGCGCCAGCTGCGCCCGTACCTTGGGAAGTCTGACTTGGCCACGGTAGTCCACGCTCTGGTTACATCCCGTTTAGACTACTGCAACGCTCTCTACGTGGGGTTGCCTTTGAAGACAGCTCGGAAGCTCCAACTAGTCCAACGCTCGGCAGCCATGATGTTAACAGGAGCGGAGCGCAGGGAGCATACAACCCCCCTGTTGCGCCAACTCCACTGGCTACCGATCTGCTACCGGGCTGAATTCAAAGTGCTGGCGTTGGCCTTTAAAGCCCTAAACGGTTCCGGCCCAAGCTACCTATCTGACCGCATCTCTGCCTATGAACCCACCAGGACTTTGAGATCTTCCGGGGAGACCCTGCTATCGATCCCGCCTGCTTCTCAAGCTCGGCTGGCGGGGACGAGAGATAGGGCCTTCTCGGTGGTGGCTCCTCGGCTGTGGAACGCCCTTCCTACGGACATTAGACTAGCACCATCTCTAATGGTATTCCGCAAAAAGTGAAGACCTGGCTGTTTGAGCAGGCGTTCGAATAATTAGTGCAATGATTGGTTAATGAACACTGGAATGGAACAATGGATGACGAATCTGGAACATGTTTTTGATGACGAGACAACAGTGAATGGGTATTGTAGTAACTGTTTATTAATTGTGTAATGTGTTAGGTTGTTAACTGTTTCTATACTGTAGCACTGAATTTTTGCTGTTCGTATTTGTTGTGAACCGCTGTGAGTCGCCTTCGGGCTGAGAACAGCGGGATATAAGTCAGGTAAATAAATAAATAAATAATATACAATAATATAATATAATAATATTATAATAATATAATATAATATATATAATATAATATAATATAATAAATTATTATATTATATTATATATATATTATATTATTAGAATAATATATAATATAATAATAATATAATATAATATATAATATTATAATATATACAATATAATATAATAATATAATTATAATATAATATAATCTATATATATAAATTTCCTCCTGGCGTCGTATGAGGAAACAAAACTCAAAAACCCCCCAACGAAACGCCACCAAACTTCCCATGCCCCAAGGGCAACCAACAAGGTACAAACTAATCCACTCAGAAATCAAAAACACACAACAACCACAATAAACGACAAAGCAACTGAGCATGCGCACTGGCGCAAACTCCCTGGCGCGGACACACATGGCCCCTCACCCTCCCCCCCGGCGCGGCACACACACGCGCGCGCGCACGGCCCCTCCCCCCAGCGCGGCACACACACACACGCGTGCCCCCTCTCCCACCCGGCGCGGCACACACGCGCGCGCACCCCCACCCCCCCGGCGCGGCACACACGCGCGCGCACGCGCCCCCTCTCCCCCCCTCCGGCGCGGCACACACACACATGCACACACACGCGCGCGCACGCGCCCCCTCTCCCCCCTCCGGCGCGGCACACACACACATGCACACACACGCGCGCACGCGCCCCCTCTCCCCCCTCCGGCGCGGCACACACACACATGCACACACACGCGCGCGCACGCGCCCCCTCTCCCCCCTCCGGCGCGGCACACACACACATGCACACACACGCGCGCACGCGCCCCCTCTCCCCCCTCCGGCGCGGCACACACACACATGCACACACGCACGCGCGCACGCGCCCCCTCTCCCCCCTCCGGCGCGGCACACACACACATGCACACACACGCGCGCACGCGCCCCCTCACCCCCCCGGCGCGGCACACACGCACACATGCGCGCGTGCCCCCTCTCCCCCCTCCGGTGCGGCACACGCACGCACGCGCGCCCGCGCGCCCCCTCACTCCCCTGGCGCGGCACACACACGCGCGTGTGCGCCCCCTCTCCCCCCCGCGCGGCACACACGCGCGCGCGCGCCCCCATCCCCCCTCCCCTCCTCCCTCTTACCCTCCTCACGTTACCTCCAAGTCACGCCCCCTTCTAAACCCATCCCCCCTCCCCTCCTCACCCCGCCCCCCCCCTCCCCCCTCCCCTCCTCCCTCCTCACGTTACCTCCAAGCCACGCCCCCTTCTAAACCCATCCCCCCTCCCCCCCCCCTCCTCACGTTACCTCCAAGCCACGCCCCCTTCTAAACCCATCCCCCCCCCCCCCCCCACCTTACCCCCAAGCCACGCCCCTTCTAAACCCATCCCCCCTCCCCTCCTCCCTCCTCACGTTACCTCCAAGCCACGCCCCCTTCTAATGTGTGGCAGGGGACAGCTAGTAGAATCATAGAATCAAAGAGTTGGAAGAGACCTCATGGGCCATCCAGTCCAACCCCATTCTGCCAAGAAGCAGGAATATTGCATTCAAATCACCCCTGACAGGAGAGAAAGAGGGAGGGAAAGAAAGAAGGAAGGAAGGAATGAGGTAGAAAAGGAAGAAAGGAGAGAAAGAGGGAGGGAAAGCAAGAAGGAAGGAATGAGGTAGAAAAGGAAGAAAGGAGAGAAAGAGGGAGGGAAAGCAAGAAGGAAGGAATGAGGTAGAAAAGGAAGAAAGGAGAGAAAGAGGGAGGGAAAGAAAAAGGGGGAGGAAGGAAAGTTAGAGAAAGAAGGAAGGAGAGAAGGAAAGAAAAAGGGAAAGAAGGAAGGAAAGAAGGAGCGAAGGAAGGGGGGAAGATGTAGAGAAAGAGGGAGGGAAGGAAAGAAAGAGAGAAGGAAGAAAAGAGAGACTGCAGAAGAGAAAAAGGAAGAAGGAAGGAAAGAGGGAGCGAAGGAAGGGGATAAAATGTAGAGAAAGAGGGAGGGAAAGAAAGGAGGAAAGAGAGAAGGAAGAAAAGAGACACAGCAGAAGAGAAAGAAAAAGGGGGAAGGAAGGAAAGCGATAGAGAAGGAAGGAAGGAGAGAAGGAAAGACGGGAAGGAAGGAAGGAAACAGGGAGTGAAGGAAGGAGGGAAAGAAGGGGAGATAGGGGGAAGGTTGGCCACAGCAACGCGTGGCGGGTACAGCTAGTATAATATATAATATAGTTGTTGTTTGTTTTATCACACCAACAGTCAACAACAGAGGGAGAGGGAAGCTTCAGAAGTTCCCCCTGTCCCATTTGGAGGTTTTTTTAGCATATTGCGCAATCGCGTCCGCCATTAACGAATTGATTCGTAATTTACGAAATTTCGAAATCTTGAAATCTTAAATTTCGGAAGTCCTCAGAATTTCGAAACGCTAGCGCACCCTAGAAACGAAACGAGTTTAGAACCAATTTTTTTCTTGATCGCCCAAGCCTACTGTCTATTGTTGGGTTTGCACCTGTACAATTGGTGGCAGCGGTGGGATCTTTAAAGATAAAATCCCTATACCCTGTCTATTGTTGGGTTTGCACCTGTACAGTACTATTGTATTATGATGTTTACTGTGGTTTATCTTACTGTATTTTAACCCTCTGCTCTTAGCCGGCCTGAGTCCCTCTTCGGAGGTTGAGAAGACCGGGTTATAAAAGCTTGAGATAAATAAATAAATAAATACCAACACAACAACAACCACAACAACTTCAAAATACTTTTTTCTAAACTGACCGTCAGCATGAATTTTTAAAACCCTAGTGCTTATCTCCATTTCTCAGCTGAAGTGCCGACATTGTCTGTCTCTAAGGTCACGTGGCCAGCATGACTACATGGAGCACTGTGACCTTCTCGCAGAAGCGGTACCTATCAATCTACTCACATTTGCATGTTTTCGAACTGAGTCTTTTTCTTTCAGAGCGGATTCCTCATAGGCTCAAGGCATTCATTTGTGAGAGAGAAGAAACGGAATGCTGGAACCTTACCAAACGGGGTTCCGTGCTTTGACCCCCACTTTTTTCCCCCGGTCTTCTTATGCAGGTCCTGTCGGCGGCCACCATTGTGGCCAAGCACACTTCGGCCTTGTGCAACGCCTGCCGCATTGCCTCCTCCAAGACGTCCAACCCGGTGGCCAAGAGGCACTTTGTCCAGTCGGCCAAAGAGGTGGCCAACAGCACGGCCAACCTGGTCAAGACCATCAAGGTCAGAGGAGGAGGAGGGCACTCGGGGATGGGCAGATAATGACGATTACACTGTTCAACGGAGAAAAAGTTTCGGGCCTGAAAATAGTTGTTCTTTTATGATTTTGGGGTGCTGAAAACGAAAATGACATTTAAAAATGTATATTGGCTCTAGTTTTTATGATATAAGCAATCACGTGATCACGTAGGGTTGAAAAAATGCATGTTGCGACTTACACTATGGAGGATTCTAGAATATTCTAGAAAGTTTGATGACGCAGTATTAGTGTGGTGTGCAAAAGCCAGAAAGCCCTATATAAGGCCAGACTTTTGAACGGTGAGGGTCAGTCAGTTGAAGACTGAGACAGTATCACGTGTGTCAATAAAGCCCTATGGAAAAAAGAGATCAAGGCCAATGGACTCCGTCCATGCTGTCAGACTCCTGCTGGAGCATTGCAAGAGGGAATCCTTTCCTTGAATACAAAAGAAAAGTCAAGAGAAGCAAACAGGATAGAAACTAAAGTCACGACTAAAGCGACATTTACACTTTCAGACTTTTCAACTGCATTCGGTCTACTCATAGAGTTTCTTGCTGCACAAACATAAACAATAGACTAATTAAACAAATATTTCTCATGTATAAACTATTGGCAATATAATTTGACTAAAATTTAGTAAATATTCACGGTTTATATACATGCAGTAAAGTTAGGCGCATTATCATAATATTAACGAATTACTAGAGCTGGGCGGTTTCGTCCGTTAATTTCGTAATTCATTATTAATTCGTATTTCAATTAGCTTACGATCCGATATTGAGCCATTTTGGAATAGTGTGAGGAGTTAAATAGATTCGAAACAATTTTTCAATATATTTCGTAATTGTTTCGAAATTGTTTCGTAATTATTTTCGCATGCCTGGTGCAAGTTTTATAGTTGTTGTTTGTTTTATCACACCAACAGTCAACAACAGAGGGAGAGGGAAGCTTCAGAAGTTCCCCCTGTCACATTTGGAAGTTTTTTCAGCATATTTTTAGCATATTTGCAGGGGTTTTTAGCATACTGCGCAATCACGTCCGCCATTAACGAATCGATTCGAAATTTACGAAATTTCGTATATTTCGAAATTTTTAAAAGGAAAATTTTGGAATTCTTTAAAGAAACGAAACATGATGGACCCCTTAAAAACGAATCGCGTTTAGAAACAAATTTTTCCGTGGTTACCCAGCCCTACGAATTACCTATTGTGGAGAAAATTGAAATAGCTGTTGCATAAAAACCAGAGCCAATTAACACATTTAATTATTATATTTGAATTCAGCATGTTAAATTTATTAAGAAACGGCACATTTCGTTTCCGTAACTGAGAAAAACTGAAAATTTGTAGAACAGTGTTATGAAAATACTTTTTGTTTATCACCCGCCTCTTCTGATGGGTTCTAGATCAGCGGTTCTCCGCCTTCCTAATGCCGTGACCCCTGAATCCAGTCCCTCATATTGTGGTGACCCCCAACCATAACATTGCTTTTGTTGCTACTTCATAACAGTCATTTTCCTACTGTTATCAATCATAATGTAAATATCAGATATGCAAGATGTATTTTCATTCACCGGACCAAACTGGGCACAAATACCCAATGCAACCACATGTAAATGCTAGTAGGGTTGGGGGAGGATTGATTTTGTCATTTGGGAGTTGTAGTTGCTGGGATTTCTAGTTCACCTAAAATCAAAGAGCATTCTGAAAACCAGCGATGGAGTTGAACCTAATTTGCCACACAGAACTCCTTGAGTTTGGGAGTTGCAACTCAAGCTTGCAAATTCTGTGTTTTGCCTGTTTGTTTGTTTGTTTTTGTTAAGAATGTAATACAAATGTCTGGTTGCTGATGACACGATAAATAAAAAATAACCCCGCGATCATGCGGCATGTCTCATTAAGAGCCACATCCACTGTTTTAGTGTGGTGAGATGTGTTCCACACTGGGCATGCGTGCTCAGCAGCAGAGTAGCACAGCGCAAGGGCAGATGTCTTCACTGTGTCTGGTTGTGATCCCCAGGTTGTGCCAGTCAGCTTTCTCATGATATTGTTTCTAGCGCCCACTTTTTGCTTGATGTTCAGGCAGTGCTTCTTGTAGGTCAGAGCACGGTCCAGAGTGACTACTCCCAGGTATTTGGGTGCGCTGCAATGCTCCCGTGGGATTCCTTCCCAGGTGATCCTCAGAGCTCGGGTTCCTTGTCTGTTCTTGAGATGAAAAGCACATGTCTGTGTTTTAGATGGATTAGGGATCAGCTGGTTTTCCCTGTAATAGGCAGTAAGAGCACCTAGAGCTTCGGAGAGCTTCTGTTCAACCATCTCAAAGCTCCCTGCTTGAGCGGTGATGGCACGATCATCAGCATAGATGAAGCTCTCTGTCCCTTCTGGCAGTGGCTGGTCATTTGTGTAGATGTTGAACATGGATGGAGCAAGCATGCTTCCCCTGAGGCAGGCCGTTCTTCTCTTTCCGCCATCTGCTTCTCTGGCCCTGGAACTCAACAAAAAAGCTCCTGTTTTGTAGCAGGTTTCCTATGAGGCGGGTGAGGTGGTCGTCCTTTGTGATATTATATATATGATATATGATTAGGGATCAGCTGGTTTTCCCTGTAATAGGCAGTAAGAGCACCTAGAGCTTCGGAGAGCTTCTGTTCTACCATCTCAAGGCTCCCTGCTTGAGCGGTGATGGCACGATCATCAGCATAGATGAAGCTCTCTGTCCCTTCTGGCAGTGGCTGGTCATTTGTGTAGATGTTGAACATGGATGGAGCAAGCACGCTCCCCTGAGGCAGGCCGTTCTTCTGTTTCCGCCCTCTGCTTCTCTGGCCCTGGAACTCAACCAAAAAGCTCCTGTTTTGTAGCAGGTTTCCTATGAGGCGGGTGAAGTGGTCGTCCTTTGTGATATTATATATATGATATATGATTAGGGATCAGCTGGTTTTCCCTGTAGTAGGCAGTAAGAGCACCTAGAGCTTCGGAGAGCTTCTGTTCAACCATCTCAAAGCTCCCTGCTTGAGCGGTGATGGCACAATCATCAGCATAGATGAAGCTCTCTGTCCCTTCTGGCAGTGGCTGGTCATTTGTGTAGATGTTGAACATGGATGGAGCAAGCACGCTCCCCTGAGGCAGGCCGCTCTTCTGCTTCTCTGGCCCTGGAACTCAACAAAAAAGCTCCTGTTTTGTAGCAGGTTTCCTATGAGGCGGGTGAGGTGGTCGTCCTTTGTGATACTATACATTTTTCTCAGGAGGAGGCGGTGGTTCACAGTATCATAAGCCACTGACAGGTCTATGAAGGCAGCTCCTGTGATCTGCTGCCTTTCAAAGCCATCTTCTATGTGATAGATGCACCCGATGGAAGTGATGAGGATCTTGAAGTTGATGTCTACTTAGCTGTTGTTCTTTTCTTTGCTTTGTCTCTACTTTTACCTCCGGTCGATCCCCGCTTTTAATTGTTCCTTCCTCACCCAGGCCTTGGATGGCGACTTCTCCGAAGATAACCGCAACAAGTGCCGGATCGCCACCGCGCCGCTCATTGAAGCCGTGGAAAACTTGACTGCTTTCGCATCGAACCCCGAATTCGTCAGCATCCCGGCCCAGATCAGCGCAGAGGCAAGTGATAAAACGTGGGATTCCGTGGCTGGGATTCGGACCTTGGTTTCCTGAGCCGGTGGGGTGCATCGATTCTGCAGAACTAATGCAGCTTGGCCCCACTTTAACTCCTATGGCTCAAGGCTAGAGATTCCTGGGAGTTCACGCTGGGATCGAAGCTGGTCCTTGGGAAACTACAACTCCCAGGATCCCGTAGCATGGAGCCACCTATTGGTGTTTTTATATTGTTGGAAGCCGCCCTGAGTCCCCTCAGGAAGATAGGGCAGGCCACAGATAAATAATAATAATAATAATAATAATAATAATAATAATAATAATAATAATAACAATAACAATAACAAATATTATATATGATGATATACAGGCCTTCCCGCAGACAATGCAATAAATAGAATAGATATAATGAAAATATACCATAAATCTATATATATAAATTTCCTCCTGGCGTCGTATGAGGAAACAAAACTCAAAAACCCCCCAACGAAACGCCACCAAACTTCCCATGCCCCAAGGGCAACCAACAAGGTACAAACTAATCCACTCAGAAATCAAAAACACACAACAACAACCACAATAAACGACAAAGCAACTGAGCATGCGCACTGGCGCAAACTCCCTGGCGCGGACACACATGGCCCCTCACCCTCCCCCCCGGCGCGGCACACACACGCGCGCGCGCACGGCCCCTCCCCCCGGCGCGGCACACAAACACACACGCGTGCCCCCTCTCCCACCCGGCGCGGC